ATGAGAAAGAGTACCTGTTAATTCCTCTAATACTATAAACATTACTTTCTCTTTGGGATCTGAATATATTCTGAAATAGTTTGGAGCAACGTTTATATGATTTAAAACGGGAAACACGATTTCGAAAGAGGTCCCGTCACGGATGCCAAAAGGAGAGATCATTTGTCACTTATCACAATCGCCACAACTTTCCTTCGTAGTATTGTATTTATGCCGGACGCTAAATAGTTTTAGGAAGTTCTCTCCTTAGCAAAGCTACCGAGGTCTTACAGTTTTTACTTGCTACACTTTCGAAAACCTCCTTGAATTCAATGAAGTCTAAAAAACCAAACATCATCTTATTGAAACACGGGGTTTAACTCCCTATCAAAATTATTCGTATTCCTTGTTTTGTGTTTAGCTCATGTTATTTTAGAAAATGGAATTTCATCTATGTGACCCTGTCTTAGACCGTTTTACTGAAAATCACTGTAACACTGTTTTGATAAATATGATAATGCATTTGTCACTGAACGAATATTTATCAAGGTTCATATTACTTAAGTACGCTTTCGTGCTGTTGTAATTATATCCTCGTAGATTTTAAGGTAATATGACTTTCAATTTCTTCCAAGAATTACGTCATTTACTTGCTATTATCTGATGGTCATATGACATAAATCTAAACATTCTCTCTGTCTCCTTTCAGACTTATTCAAATCATTTTGGTATCATACAACCTTTTTCCTTGATAGCAGCTAATGAAATGAGTAATATGCCACAAAAATTGTTTTCAATTTTTCGGTCAATGATAGAAGGATTTCGTTTTAACTGTTAGAAGTAATGAACAAATAGAATAAACAGCTGATTAACTTGATTCTCCTTCCTTGTGTGATTCAACATAAAATTTCTCCACGCAGCAGCTTCTCATACAGAAAAAGAAACTATAAAATAACTATTAACCGAACAGATTTCTGACAATAAAATGCAACGCCGTTAATACTCCTCTATCCCTTAAAATAGAACAATTGTATTTGCTGATCCTATCAAATCAGTTTCCAAACAGTCTTATGAATTTCTTATCCCTCATCGAAACTGAATGGAACCTTGAAAGGATAAATAGACCCAGGAAGAAAAGCGGTAGTTTCCCAGTACAAACGGTCCTTACGGATCGTATGGCAAAATACGGACCAAGCAAGAACCAATCAGAACGCTCGGATTTGCCTTAAGACTTACTTCTCATATAATATATATCATTAACAAAGGTTTAGTTTGTATTCGAGCCAAGTGGCCCATGTAGCCGGAGTTTACGGTGGCCCATACAGCCGGAGTTTATCCCGGTTTCCCGCGTTGCACGAGGCAACAAGAAAAGTTATTACTCCCCCCTGGATGGGATGCCAGTCCATCACGAGGTTACAAGGTAACTCCCCAACATTTCATCCGGCTTCCCTGCAGGATAATTCAATGATATATAATCAAAAAAACTCTTGGGTGGACAGAAGCATTGTGAGAGTAAAGTGTTTCGCCTCGGAGCACAACACAGTGATACCGCAAGGCTGTAAACCTGGACTTTCCAACCTAGAATCCACCGCCCTAACCAGTGAGGTCAACATGTTTAATTGATCCAGTAAAATTACTTGGAATATAACGACTGCGGATTTAAAAACTTTATTGACGGTTTTGTGAAAACAGTTGACAAGGACGGCCATCAAGCATCACTTGAATTTGGATAAGGTTATAAATACATACAAATAAATACGCGGCATATACATAATATAATGATAAATAATGCAGCAGTTTTCAACAGCAGTTGCTACTCGATATAATTATAGTCAATGTGTTCCTGACAGACCCTGGTACATACACGAGTCCAAACGGTTTGGTTTTTAAGTATTCTATGGTGCACATGAACAGGCTGTGTTAAACGCCATTCCTTCCATTGTGACTATCTGAGACGGAACACATTTCCTCTGGTTGTTGTTGTTTGCCATCGAACTGAAACATGCAGTTTTGTAAGACGTTATTGTCTTACAAATAGGAACAGTAACTGTTCTGTTGCTTTGCAAAGTGAGTGACGCATACGTGCCAGTGTAACAACCGGGCTCGTCACCAGGGGACCTCTTTTGTCTCCATGCGGCAGCACCCAGCTTTGACTGGACTCCGCCATCTTGAATTCTACGGACGATTTTGTTTAATGCAGGTGCCCGGCAATTTCCATGGTGAAGATAAATTGCGAGGATAACGACGAGAACCTAAAACATCGAGATCCTTTGTCAACTTATTAACAACATTGTATAACACAATTGACATCGTTAAACTGCATCAGAACGAACACCATCAAAAAAGAAACATTTATTGTTATTACATTTGAGTAATCTTTATAAATAATTCAACTAGAAAAGATCAAAAAGTCTGCCATCTTGCCAGGTAAAACCATGTAAAATAAAATACCCAACTGAGGAATTAAAAATAAAGAAATGATTGAATTCTATAAAAACGTTTTACAATAGCCATGGTTAATTTTTTTACCTTGTAAACCTCCATAACTCAATTCCTTAGTATTTCTTGTTGACTTGTTCTTGTTTCTTTTCTCTCTGAAGTTGATTTTGATGCCGAGTGATGTTTCTCTCCCCTTTTATTCAGTTGAGTGTTCCTAATTTGGCGCTGAAGTAAATATCTAAAATCGGGAAACTACCGCTTTTCCTCCTCAGTTTCTTCATCCGTTTTTCGATTCTGCTCAATGTTCCATCCTTTTCCCCGTTCTTTTAGTACAGTTTCGATGATGGATTGGAATTTCTTTTGATTGTCACTTGTAGAAACCTGTTTGGTTTATTGAATTACAGTACTCTTTCCTTTCCTACAGCGTGAAGAAATTCTACGTTGAATCGCACGAAGAATGAAAGTCTTGTCCACCCGCTGTTTAGCCTAATTTTTTTCATTAATTTCAACAGTTCACGTGAAATCCTGTTATTCTTGGCTGAAAAATTGCAAAAAACTGTTTTCGTAGCATGTTATTCTTGATATTTTATGAGCTACTATGAAGAGAAAAGGTTGTGTTTGATATCAAACTTATTTGAAGGAGTTTGACAAGAAATAGAGAGAATGTCTACCATTACATTATAAGACTATCAGATGATAACAGGTGAATGATAGAACGCTTGGAAGACGTTGGGGATAATGATACCTCACGATCTGACGGGAAAATGATTACATCAGCACGAAAATGGACATATGTAACATGAATCGTTGATTAAGATTCGTTCGGTGATAAAAAGCAGAATCAATGATATTTACCAAAATGGTGCTCTTATAATTTACGGTAAAACAGTGTCGTATAGATGAAATGCCATTTTCTTAAATAGCATGAGCTGAATACGAAAAGGGAAAAGGAATCTTTTTGACGGGGAGCTAAACCACTAGTTTCAATAAGTTGAAGTTTGGTTTTTCATACGTCATTAAAGCGGGTTTTCGAAAGTGTAGTAAGTAAAAGCTGGAAGACTTTGATAGCTTTGCCAATGATAGAACTCCCTAAGTGTCAAATATCAGACAGACGATTGTGATACATAACAAATGATCTCTCTTTTTGACATCCGTGTAGGGACCTCTTTCGAAATCGTGTTTCCCCTTTTCAATCATTTAAACTGGTGTCTAAATTTATTTCAGAATATATTTGGGGTAATCAGTTTTTTTTTAGAGGAACTCTTAGCCGCTTTCCCTAACATACCACTCCTGGTACACCACTCAATCGCTAATGCGCATGTATTGCGCAGGGTGCAAGATTTTCCAGTTTCCTATCATTTTACAGAAATAAAAAGAGAATTTTTTTGTTCCACTTATAATTCAACTTGTGTGGTATTTACGAAATAATACGATTAGCTATTACATATATGACGTCAGCATTAACAATATTTTCTTTATTACAATACAAAACACAAATATTTTATGTGGCCGGGATCTGCACAGTACTAGATGAAAGATGAGGCCAAAATGAAATAACATCAACAATTCACTCGGCTGTGCCTCGTGTGCCACTTTTTTGTTCTCGCCACATTTTGCCGTCATCTCCACGTGATCTATCATTGAACCGACGCAGGGCAACAGAATCTGTTTATTAAACAGTTATTTATCTCAGTGTCGGTGGAAACGCTGCTGTTTTTTTAATTTTAACGTTAAGTTTGTTTCATGTTTCATATTTGCTCTATCTCTGCCACTTTATCATTGTTATCTTTTCGCTGTTAAAGATGTAGCGGCTTCATTACAGCATAGAGTACCGCGTGCTTTAATGTATCAAATTTTCAGTCGTGTTGTGCTACTGTTGTTGTTGTTGCTGTTTTTTTTTTTTTTTTTTTGTTTTTGTTTTTTTTTTGGGAAAATGGCATATTTTAAATTGTAAAAGTTTATAGTTATAGAGATTTTAGAGGTTTTGTTAGTTTTTTCAACGTGCGTTGAAAGTTGTAAGCTGATATGTGGACGTATTGATGACAGGTTAAAAACCTTCACATCCTACATATATTCTAACAAGGTAACAATTCTTGCTCCCTTTCTTAATCTATGTAAATATCCCCGGATTCATCAGTTTTTGAAGCTGATTAAAAGCTGTCATTAAATTTTCAACTCCAAGTGTTGCATTTTGAGTGTTCTGGTTGGTTCACCCAACTCCGGTGATCAGCTCATATTCCAAGTCACGTTATATCGAAAAAGAAACGTAAAACGAGCGAAACTCCCAGACAAAAATAGTTGAGACACTACTTCAGAAACACGACTATGAGGTTCTTTCACTCCTCTCTCCCCTCCAAGGTTATCAATAGCCAATGTTCCTGCGCCATCTTACAAACCAACAAGGAGAGGGGCAGGGGAGGCAGAGGGCCCCAACAAATGTGTCTAGGAGTGTGGGTCGTGTGGGCTATTTCTGGCCATGCTCGCACCATGGCGTACGGCCTTCATATGAGAATTTTTCACCATGATTTTCATTAATATTGCACGTGCAGCTGTGAGCAATAAATATCAATATTTTCGTCTCAATTTTATTTAAATTCATCACTTGTATTCTTGCAGTTTGGAACTCTTGATATATTTACAACCTACCGTATTTAGGCTTTCTTAAATGAAATAATTTCATTTGACCATTATTATTAAATTTCTTTGTAGGAAACCCTTTTTCATACTAAAAGTTTATCATCATCATCATTATCACGTATCCCACAAGCCCTTGCACTCAGAACCACCACCTTGCTGCCTGTATGCATGATGTACTGGTATCTCCTGGCCAAATTTACCATAAAGCTACAAATATTTGTATGGTCAACAATGTAAACCAGTTTAAACAGATGTCCTTCTATAAGATCCCATTGTCCATATCTTCCCTGGGTTTTGGTTTTTTTGTAGGATCCAGTCCGTGACTCTTCATCTGTACAGCAATGTCGCACAAGTAATCCAGACACTCACACCTGGGAAAAAGGATGTGGAAAAGTCCAAAAAGAGACAAATTAGGCACCATAAAACAGTTTTCGTTTCTTGTACAACTGTTTTTTGGCAATTATCCTCTTTGACTTAAGTGATGCATTCATTCCTTAGAGGACTTTAAGTAGGTCATTTATTACTGAAAGAACCAGGCAACACAAAACACTCCAATTCTTCTTAAGAATAACTAAAATCCAAAGCCTTAGGAAGGCTTCACATGAAGGTCTAAATTTGTAAATCCAAGAGAAGTTATTTGAAATATTACCAATATTACCCCTGGATTACACAGTATGGTTAAAAGAATAAAGGAAATGATCACCAACTACAAAAGGTCTTGATTGTTGCTCAAAATTCTTCTGGTGAGCATCTTGGGAAATGTATTGAGAACAGTATGGAGAATATGCATACTGATGTTAGGATGTAATGGGTTAACAAACATGGCTAGTCAAACAACACACACAAAAAAAAACAAGACTGGTACTGATGGTGACAAATGAGGAATTTGCTTGGAGCATTCTAGGTTTTTATCTTAGTCTGTTTTAGTGACAGTAGTTTTCCTACAGTAAACCCTTCAGTCAGGAGAATAAACAGGTACTGACTGTACCTTTTCGCAGAATCTCTCTTAAGGCCATTGAGCAATACTGAGAGACACAAAATGACAACCTCCTCAGCTGCACCAGAAATACTTATTAGACTGATGTTATACATCACAATCTGTAAGTTATGATTCATCACACGTATACCACTCACATTGTTTTTGCTTTCTGCCATGTATCTCCCCAGACATACACTCCATGTCGACGTACAAGGACTGCACAAGAGTCTGGATACTGCTCCATGGCCTTTGCCATACTTTCCTTTTGGGTGTAAAGACATACTGAATGAGTTGTCATTATAGTCAGAAATACCTATTACATCAAGCTGGAAAATTTATTTACCAAAATTCAATAGTGTGAGCACATTTCGCACTGTCTCTTATTAAACATGCTGATTATGTCAGTGAATGTAACGAAGCTTAGCACATTTATTATAAATGTTCTTCAATAAATCATTAACATTTCCTGTCAAAAATGCTATGAAACAATAGTGTCATGTGCCACCATCAAGATATAAAGTACTTGGAAAGTTTGGTGAGCATGTGAGACACTAGAATTACTTACAGCTGCACCTAGAGCAACTCTTACACAACTTTTGTGCTCTCCAATCCTCCTACATACTTCATAAATTATTTATAAATGCATACTAATGCATGCACCAATTAAACCAAAACAGATAAAATAAGTTCTGCCCTAAAGCTTTTGTGATATCAAATCATGACTTTACAGAGCTGTCTCAAAACCTTTGTCTTCAGTTGTTTAATTTTGAATAATCATATTAAATTTGTTACTAGGCATCAGTACTACATTCTAATGCAATAGTTTTTGGAGGTTAATCTGCCTTGCCTACACAGATCCCCATTTGACTTCAGGGTTCACTCCAAGTGTTGTACTTAAATTCAATGCTTTTTCATGTATTACTAAACATTAATGAATTAACACTTATACCTAATACAAAACACCTATTATGTGCTGGATACACACAAAAGTCAGTACAGATATTTCAATCCCTAAATCCTAGCATTGTACACCTTCAAGTCTCGTTCCTCTGGTGTGTTTTCAATTATAGGAACAACAAGCTCCTCATCATATCTAAAAAAAAAAAGAAAAAAATGTTTGTCTGATTTCAGTTCACCTTTAATGAAATTTCAAGGAAGGGCTCTTCATCTACTATTAAAAAAGAACCACTTGTATCTCTTTCCCCTTGGAAATATTCCTGACAAAAAACCTATTTTATAATAACATCCTTCCCTTAGAACTACTTTCCAGTCTCTTTTTCTCAGATGTGAAAAGATTCTTCCAATCTTCAATGACTCGTATAAAATTAATAATTATGTACAACTTACATTTAACTTCACAGAAATATGACTTGACAAGAACCTCACCAAAAACAACATTTTAAAGAAACTGATTTCATATGTTTTCTCTTGAGGGTATAATGAATACCTTTCACAAAATCCCACAAAGGTGGAAAAGTCAAACCTTTGGCATCTTTGACAGTGAGAAAAGACACCTTGAACTAATTCCTTTCCTAGGATCTTTCTTCTTGAAAAACAAACACCTCAGGATAAGGTTACACTTAAACACTCTGCACCTTACCCCAACACTGTAATAAAACAAAACCTCCTCACTCACCTGTAATTCACACCTGTTGTACCTTTCTTCAACCCTTTAATCATTTCTTGATGAGTGATGCGGAATTCCTTTCCAGGGTACAGTAGAGTGACCATAACACAGTGCTTGGAGTGCGAGTGAATCACTGCTCCAGCTCCTAACACAATAAACAAGCAACTGCTTTGAGGAAAGAACACTGAATTGCTCAAAGTAAGCTACAAGCTGGGATGGGAATTTTTGCAAATTTTAGCTATTGGCTGATCATGATTAAAAGGCTAATATCAGTCCCACTTGATATACTTACCATATATAAAATTCACTATCATAAGCTTACGTACCCATCACTGTCATCTTTCTTTGCTTATTGCTGTGAATTTAAGTCAATTTTTCTGGTTTACACAACTTTTATCATTATAATACTATTCAAAATGGCATACACTGCAAAAGTCAATTATTGGAAAAAATTTGCTGACAAATTCTGCACACAGGTGATCAGATTTGTCTCCATTGGCTACAAAATTTTCTGATGTGTCACTCACTTATTACTAAATAATAATAATGCACTGTAATAATACTCTGTATGTGGTTACCTCTCATTGTGAAGGCATTCATAAATAAAGGAGTACATTGGCTTTTCTTGAGTTTCTTCCTGTAATGTGTGATATAAATCAGAAAATACTCTAAGTTAGAAATAACAGATGACATAATAAATAAAGTACAGATTGATTTCTTTATTCACATTTTTTTAAAGCAGATAAATGTTAAGGAATGTATTGAAATTATAATTACTCTGGAGGAGGAGAACAAAGCTCATTTTCATCCATGTCACACACAAACATGTCTTCAGGCTTCAAGGAATAAAACATAAGAGAAAAAATCAAATTGTGTTGAGATGAATGTGTTAAATCACAACTGGTGTTTTCTCAATAGTTGCAGTTGTATATGAAACATAAAGAACGACAAAAAAGTATTTTTACGAGGTTGCAGACTGTATAATAAGGCCATTAGTATTAATATAATTTTTTGTTCATTAAAAAGTGAGGGAAGAAATGAAAATATATTTAAAAACAACTTGGCAAAGCTTTTTTGCTTTGAAAGTATGAATTATTTACCTCTATCCTTTCCTTCTGCACTCCTGATGGTGCAATGAAGATTTCATTGCTATCGAAACCAAAGAACAATGTCAAAAATTGTTTACAAATAAGAACTTTTAACATGGAAATGTCATGAAGCCTATTTTTTAGCTAACTTGATGCTCTGAATATTCTTCAAGGAAAGATAACAGCTATAAAAGGTAATACATGAAACAGCCTTCTAGAGACAACTTCCAAGGATAATAGGGGAGGAAGGGGAGAGGGTGTTTGTTAGAATGTCTGATCATGCCAAATGATACACCTCAGGGTAAGGAACAGAAATATGGGCTGCTGTAAAGTACAACTCATGCCCTGATCACATGGCAAATACAACTCAGCCTTTTTTCTCTCCATTCACTACTGTCTACGCATTGGACACAAGAATTTTGACAGAAACAAGGCTGCTTTTAAAGTCCACTGAAACTTCTTCTGTGAAAGATGTGTGAAAGGGTTTTAAAATAAATTGTAATTTTGGATTTATAAAAGTCTAGAAATGGCAAATATGGACTAGGGAAGTGCTGTGGAGAACAACAAACTAGTTTGTCCATATACTACTCACTCCTGGTTTAATCCTCAACATCACCAATTTACTTAAGTACATTATGACTAGAGTATTTACCATCTACACATCAGAAATTATCATATGACCAATACTGCCCCGCTTGCACAATCCCATAGAAAACCATTGTAAAAGCTGACTGTCTAGGGCCAGGTCTCAAAAACAGGTGTCAAGCCCAGTACTTACTCCACTTTGTTGCAAAGTAGGAAAATAGGAAAGAGTAAAAAGAAATTCCTGCAGTTTTAGATGAATTGTGAGTTTAATGTCCAGACTCAAAAAAAGTAAGGAAATGTTTTTATCAAGGAATCACATCCAATCCTATTTTAATTTTCAACAGTTAGTGGTCATAAGATAAAATGCTTATTGACTGAGTTTGGTCAGGCTGGAGGGAAAATATTTGGCTCTCCATCATGACACAGTCCTTGCTGCGCTTGGTCTGTACATGGTCAATAAGTACATAATATATCTGGTGTACAGGCTGGTAAGTTACAAAAACAAAGGAAGGGTGTATAAAAAAATGTCAAAAATACCATAAGAGCAATAATACAAACAAACCCATATTTGATACTGATCCCTCCTCCAGTTCCTGTAACCCAATCCAGGTGATAAAACTGCTTGCATAGCTCAGGAATAAGATTTCTTGGATGTTCAGGATCCCTGTCAAGTTTTGTTACCTGTTTTCAGACATTTTAAGGCACTATTTAAAGATTGATCAATTTAATATTTTTCTTTCATAGCAGTGAGAATGATGAAGAGTGTTTCAAAAATCTGTTCAGTGTAGAGCACCTTCTATAAATGGAAATCCGCATGAAAAAATATTTGAGGGCCTTTTTCCACAAGGAGAACAGAACAAGAGTTTCCAAACAACGAGCTAAAGGCAAGCGAGTTACAAACTTTTCCTATGTTCTCCCAACAACTAAGAGGGTTATTACCATAATGCTGGTAAACCAGTAGAAAGTGTGGTCTACTGCTTTTGTAAAATAAACTTACTTGATGTTTCAATTTCCATGGATTTAATGATCCAATCCGGACACTAGTAGTATTAATGATTTTTCAAAATCAATTTTGTCTACAATAAATAAATTTCAATAACTTTTTCACGTTCGATCGATTGGAACTTTGCGATGCCGAAGTTTGTTACAACATAATTTAGCGACTATCGATTGTTATACAGTAATGTAATTACAGTTTGGAACCCTTTAAAAACGAAAATTTAGTAGATTCGTGTCACGGACACTCAGCTGACATTTACACAAACCAAAGTACCATATCCTCTGTGAGTTAAATCACCAATAAATGCGATAAATTGAATTTTTACAATGGATTAAGTCAAAATATTCTTTTACCTTCGAGTATTCCGCTGAAAATTCGTCCAAACTCGATCTCTTCGCCATGGTCACAATGCCCACGATTTGCATTCAACGATAGAAAATTTGCTGCCGCTTTTAAGTTTGCCCCAGGGCCCCTCTGGTTTAACTCTGTGCGCGGGAAAAAGCGCTTTTTTCCGCGCCATTTTTAACTCGTGAATTGCGCGCATGCGCAAGAGCGAGTTGTAGATACGATGTGGGGAACGGCATACGGTTGCTCGCTCACTCGCTCGGTCGATTCTTGTATACTTTTTTTCGATTTTAGGCTTTTGAGTGCATTTGAAAGTTTTTGGCGAGCAATAAACAAACGAAATGGCGACCTTTGTTGTTAAGAATAGTGGTGGGGTGACAAAGAGGCCAATGATAATCTTAAAAGAGTTTTTTTTTTCGTTTTAGTTTCAACAAGCGGCGCCAGCGACTGGCAGGCATTCAAGGATTCACACTGAAATAACGGAACAACCTTCGTTTTTCATAAAATTGTAATTTACAATCCTTGAACTTGAAAACAATCCGAAGATTCATTGAAAATATCACTTACTGCGAAGCGCTCGGAGTTTACAGATGGTCAAAAGCTTTTTCTGTTACGGCGTGAGATTGAGGACAAAATCGATCATTACGTGTCGTATCGTGTTTTTTTCCTGTGTGAAGCAACAGAAGATGCCGGCGACTAACGAAATTACAAGTTAACACGAAAATCAAATAACACCTAAACAAACAATTTTAGCTACCGATTTTCAGTGAATTTTTAAAGAACAATTTTCTCTTACGTTTCAAGACAATTTGATGATTCAAAATACATATTACGTACTAAAATGCGAAAGTTACACACCACAAAGTCGATAAATAGACCTGAAATGAAATTCTATCTTGTTATTGATTATACGTTGCCTAGCATGTGACTAAAATCTACCCAGGCGGAGATCCAAAATGACGGTGGCAGTCTTGGCTTAGTTATATCACTCAAAACTCATTCCCGTTTGTCTCATTTGATAAAGAGGGAATCGTTAATATTTTCATTAAGACAGTATTGCCTTGATTTTCTAATATTTATAATGATAGACAGTAAATTTCACTTTTCACCCACATTTACTTCCAACCTTTTCTTTTGAACCAGAAAGAGAAATGATATACGCTTAAAACACATGACATCATCCACCCTTGTCAAATACAATAGCATGATCATTTCAATTGTAATGCCTTCTTATCCCAACGTTACTTTGTTTCTTTGCTACATTAGCGAACACTGAACTACTGCTCTTACTCTAGATATGACAATCAACCAAAAAATTCCCTAAACCAGATAACATTAAACATAATCCAAAAAATCATGTGTCAATTCCCGAGTTTGCTCACAGAGCACTTTGATTCTTGAGCCATATTAAAGTAACTAAAGCGACCAAGTTAGCAACCATATATGGACATTATTCCTCAGCATTCCTTAGGATAAATTCAGCTCTCTTCTCATTACACTGCTTTCAAAGAAAGTATGCAAGTATCCTGGTGATCGCATCGACAAAACGGAAGTAAGGCCAGAAGTAGTCTCGAACCCAGAATCTACCGTGAAACTGTAACTGAAATCGCCGTAAAAGGTCTGGGTACGAGACTATGCCTGAAGCGAAAGTGTAGCGAGAAAGAGTTAGGAACGATCCTTTAAAAAAGTCCTGCACGATCATTTTTCATCGATGAAAGGGATTTTCTCTTAAACATTGTCAAACGGCACTACAGTAAAAAATTGGAGACGATTGAGAGTAGGAACATATCAATTTCAAAGAATTTATTAATCTAGTGTATAACATTTTTGTTATTCACTCGTATACTAAATAAAAATACGCGAGCAATCAGTATAATTTAGACTTTCATTACAGTTTCACCGGACAGAATTCAAGTGAAATAAATCTGAATAAATTTAAATCAATAATAACTTATAAATGACGACAAAAATCTTTCTAGATGTCGTTTTCCTCAAAAGTTACGTTGGTGAAGCTCAGCTTCATAAAAACTTACAAATATTAATACTCTCTAATAAATATAAAAAATCACTAAAAGTAAAAATATAACTTTCGGTGGTCGAAACAAATGATGGGTTTCCTGTGTTCCTGACACACTGTAGAGTTGGAAAGTCTTTGGTTTTAGCTTTTCTATGATGCACATGAACAGGCTGTACTAAACGCCACCCCTTCCATCGACTTTATATGGGATGGAACACATTTCCTTTGGTTGTTGTTGTTTGCCATCGAACTGACACATGCTGTTTTGTAAGACGTAATTGCCTTGCAAATAGGAACAGTAACTGTTCTGTTGCTTGGCAATGTGAGTGACGCATGTGTACCAGTGTAACAACTGGGCTCGTCACCAGGGGACCTTTTCTGTCTCCATGCGGCAGCACCTAGCGTGGACGGATCTCCGCCATCTTCGATTCTATGCCCGATTTTGTTTAATGCAATTGCCCGACCATTTCCAAAATGAAGAAAAATTGCCAGGAAAATAGCAAGAACCTAGAAAATAGCAGCTCCGTCAATTCACTATTAGCAATATATATTATGGTGATATTCACGATTAAATTGCATCTTAATAGAGATCTCAATTTTTTCTGCCTTTTAAATTAGTCAACACGAAAAAGGCAGCTCCTCTGTCTTATTGCCGAGTAAAACTCTTTGACGGAGGAATAAAATAGAAAAATGAAAGGGATTCTACAAACACGTTTGAAAATATCTAGGACCTTCATTGTTTTACCTTGTAAACTTCCATGACTCAATTTCTTGTTATTTCTTGTTGGTATCGGCGAGAAGTCTTCAAAACTTGTTGCTCTGTTTCTTTTCTTCTTTGAAGTCGATTTTGATGCCGATAAATCTTTTTCTCTTCTTAAATACAATTTTGAGTGCTCCTAGTTTGGCGCTGAAGTAAATATCTAAAATTGGGTAACTACCGCTTTCCCTAAAAAATTACCCCATCCGTTTTTTTCTGTTCCCCTCGGTGTTCCGTTCTCATTCATGTTGTTTTAGTGCAGTTTCAATGATAAATCATGATTTCTTTGATCGATCCTACAACTAAATTTAAAAATGCCTTTTGAGAAATCTATAACTGAACTGCGTTGGTAAACAGATCTGAAAGGATAAGCAAATAAAATAGTTCTGTTTTAAGACAGACGAGTGTCACCAGCCACATCTTACATAACATAAATCGAAGGAGGTTTTTTTTGTCACAAACGTCTGGTTTAATTTATAAATACAATTCAATATTTCTTTAACTCCTTAAGCGGTCTCTGTGTGGAGAGAGTTTACGTCAGATCAAACGGGGAATATCAAAAATTTAAAATTACTTTCAGACGTTGTTTTTCTGTTTGTTCATTCATTTGAACAGTACGTAAAAATTCCTGCCGATTATGACTGAGACCTTGAACTGAAAAGCAATTTTCATAGCTAACCACTTTGAATATTTTATCAGCTACCACTGATGGAGAAAGGTTGTCTGATGCCAAATTAAAAACATGTATGAAATAGCTACACTGTATACTACCACGTCATATTATTACCAGATGATAGCAAGTGCATGATGGCAAGTGTAGTCGAAGGCAAGCAATCATAGCTACCTAAGGGAAATCATTCCAACAGCACAAAAATGGGCTTATGTAACATAAATCTTTGATTACAAAAAAAGGCTTTCAATATTAAAATGTAACGTCATATCAAAGTGGTGCTTTTATTATTTATAGCTTAACAGTCTCAGTAGACGAGACTGTCCAACTGCTCAAAGAGATAACATAAGCTGCAAATACGACATTAAAGATAAGCATTATTTTGACTGAATGCTTAACGTTGTATTTCGATAAAAGGAAATCTTCGGGTTTTCATTTTTTACGTCATTGAAAGAGGTTTTCGAAACCGTGCCAACTAAAAACTGGTAGACATTGATAGTTTTAGCAAAGAAAAACTTCCCAAAAGGGAAGACATAAGATACGATACTTAGATAAAAGTTGTGATATGATTGTGATCCGTAAGAAATGATCTCTCCTTCTAGTATCCGTGACAGAATCTAATTCGAAAGTCCTCAATGAGTTATTTCTAAAACTGTACCAGAACATTCTCGGATGCTTTCTAGTGGATACCGATGTTTATTTAGTGGGATCTGAAAACCACCTTGCGAGGAACCATGCATCCTCAATGCAATTTTTTTAGCTGTAATTGATAGTTACTATCGCGACAAAAAGAAATTTAGTGAGGGAAAAATTAAGCAATGGACCACACTTTCTACCGTTTTAGTGGCTTAATAACCCACTTTGGATGTTGGGAGAACACGAGAAACGTTTGGAGGCGAGTGATCCACAAACTTTTCTCGTGTTCTTCCAACATCCTAGGTGGATTATTAAGCCAGTAAACCGATAGAATGTGCCGCCTATTGCATTTATAAAATGGACTTCAATTTTCCATGGGTTTACTGATGCTATAAAAGATAGGTTTTTGACCAGTCAGGGTGATCGTATTCTCTCAGATATTTAAAAATGCGTACGGATGTCTTAAGTAAACTCGGCGGGCTGTGATAATAAGTTCCGGTAATATGGATCAATAATTATCCAAGTTTCGGTATGGCATCATTACTCTCTTGAATTAGGATATTCATGTCAAATTGCGGACATTATTTCACGCTCTTCTTTTATCTTAAAAGTATTCCGATGAAAAGTTTATCTATTAGATCTGCAGGTGTGTGAGGATCTATAAGAAATGAAGAAAAAGGCCGTGTCTGCATGTAGTTACTGATTTATCTATTACATAACTCACTAATAAAAAAGTTTTTTTTAGTTAGGTAAAGAGGGATAAACGAACAGGTCTAACCAATGCAGAGATTGTGGCAAAAAAAAGACTTTAAGAGCAGACTTTAATTTGTTCGTAAAATTAACTGAGAACGGGGAGTGATCTAATAAATTAGAAGTTGTACAGTTACCAGTTGACAGATCAGGAAATTAAAAGAAATAGAATGGATAGTCTGAGTTAATGTTCATTAACCGCATGGAATAAGGACGACCATTTGACACACACTTCAACACGCTGCCCTAACAGTTAAGCAAATCTTTCTCCGAAGATTTAGGGTCGAATGAGAGACTTAAACACAGGTCAATAGAGCGGAAAACGCTGTGTGAGAAAAAATCGGCTAAAAAAACTGACTTTCAAAAAGGTTCCGTTTATAGATCTCATAAAATTCTGGATGGATGGTTTTTAAGGTGGATGTGTGGTACCTCACCTATATAGGTAAAGAGCAAACATTCGTCCCTGAATTTTCGTCAAACATTCCATTGATGATAAATAGTTCGGGGTAATTTTCTTCCCAACACAATTGTTAAAAGTCATTGAATGCGTTTCCAATCGTCATTATACTTCTCGCTCGGACAAACATTCCGGTTGGGTCATTTTCATCTCACCCTAAGTTTCAATTCTTTTGAGCACAGATTAAATTCCTTCTGGAAGATTCATGTCCCTTCAAAGGAGAATTTAGAGGTTCAGATTCTTCGTTCTCAAGCTGTGGATGTTCTTCCAAGGTTAAGAGTTCCTTTAAGAAGAAACTCGTATATTTCAGATTCTTGTCGGATGAATACTTATTTTTCGCCATAGAAAACAAAATTCTTTTGACGAGAACCAGTCAATAAGGTTTCTTCTGAGAAGAAACACTGCTCTCCTCTCAAGATATAATATTCATTTACGCAGAATCTCATATTTTGAGCGAGCTTGTCAAGCTGATAATTGCTCTTCTTCCGTAAAGTCCTACTATTTGTTTGAGAAGAATGTCAGTTTTCGATTCTTTTGAAAATGATTTTTGTCCTTCACCCAAGAGTAAACATTCGATTTGCAAATTGATCGTAAATATTGTCTTCTTCTTCAGCGACTCAGTTTGCGTTTGTGAAGACTCGTATTCAAACGGGTTCTACCTGGAAAAATCTTGGTGCTTTTCTGACGACTGATTATTTCGTCGAGCAAAATCTCATTTTTTTAAAGGGTTTTATTGAATATCCTGGAAAATCTCCTTAGACCGCAAAAATATCTGAAAGAATTTTGGCAAACAAATACTAGTCAAATTCGTTCAGAGCGGTCTCTGGTTACAGACGCAAAATTGTTGACCAGCATGTTAAAAGAAAGAATCTGACTCTAACTAAGAAATATCGTCCACTCCCACAAGGTAGAAAGCGGCTCATGTAAAAATGTTTGCCTCTTACGTTGAAACCAATGACAAGTCCTGACGCAGAGGCGAGACCCCGAACATATATCGAACCTAACCCGAGAAAACCAAAAATGAACCCGAAGAAACTCGATAAGATTCGTTTAACGACCGCTTGAGTCGGAAATGAACCAAATCGGAGATGAAATACCGTCACCAACGACCCTTGAGTTCTTTGCAGAGGGACAGGTAGCCAGAGAATCATGACGCCATCGGGGGATTATCTGAGGCAATGAATGAGACTTGCTTATCAGATTTTATAATAAAGTTCGGATATAACGCGCGCTGTCATTGGTTGAAAGAGCATGCTCTATGAGAGTATAGAGCATAGAACTGAGCTAAAGCTGTCACGCCATCTGCCGAATTGTACTATGTTCGACCTTTCTGGGACTTCTTTTTAGCTTTTTTCCGATAATTGAAAGTAAAATTTCGGAACAAGCGAGCCGGCAAGTAGCAACAGAAGAACCAAACAAAGGCGAGTTTTGCGGCGCTGTCATCCCGAGCGATCTTCATGTTCCGGTGAATTCGGCTGTAGTTCATTTAAAAAACACTCGCCTTGAACAGTTTGTTTTCTACCTTATCATGTGAAAAAACTCGCGAGTTTTTTATGAGCCACAATTCGGCTGAAGTTCACTGAACATTTCACTTGAAGATTCTGTATTAAAAACTTCAGGCAAAAGCGTTAAAATCGACCTGCCGAACTATTTTAGTTTGTAAACTATTGCAGATTATGAACTTTGATGGTTTTTTAACTTTGATGGTTTGACACTTTTGACAGCTTTTGTCTTGTAGAGCCAATTAGATTATTTGAACCATTCTAACAGGGATTCTGATTGGCTTATTGTAGCGTGCTCTATGAGAGTATAGAGCATGCTGACGACATTGTTGTTCGCTTTGGAAATAAAGTTTGTTTTGAAAATTGGAAGTAATGCATGGGGAATTTGACGGATTCTTTATTATAAAACAAATAGAGAAGCCTTGACTGTGCTCTGTTCTGTTATAAAGCACGCAGGAAGCGACTACGTCTCGTGTTTCTCCCTACACTTCTTTCGTGCTCTAGCCGCTTCCTGCGTGCTTTACAACAGAATAGAGCACAGTCAAGGCTTCTCTATTTGTTAAATAAAGGCTTCTACTCGATTTCGATCGGTTGCGTCAATCTCGGACAAAAATAACTTTACAGGTGCATACCGGATTTATAAGTGTGAAAATTTCAGGTCGTTGTCTGTACCGTAAGATGCCAGACTAGTTACAAGCGTGCATGCTTTCATCACCATTAGACTTGAAGATTTAGAATTCAAGCCAGTTGAGACGGTTTGGAATAAAAAATACAAATGACAAATGGTTCACGGTTTACGTTTATATACTTGGAGACATACTAGTGTGGATGGCATAAACGCATATAATAGTTTGTAAATGCAAATCCGTCATTTCCGTCAAACGACTTTCTTAACCCGTCAACCCTTGTGAGTGACTAGCATCTAAATTCTCCCTACAATGTCATCCCTGAAACACACATAAAGGTCTTGAGAATAAAGGAAATGATCACCAACTGAAGAAGCTCTTGATGGTTTAACATATTCTCCTTGTCAGCACCTTAGGAAATGTATAGAGAACAGTATGGAGAATACGCACATTGACATGAGGGCGTAAAGGATTGAGATAAACCTTCCCTTGCACCTGCTTACCCATACTTGTAATTTGGAAAAATTTTTTACGGATTTTGATAGAAATATTTTGGATATCGTTGCTTTCCTAATTGCATACACGTTTTGATGTAGTGGAAACAAAAATAATGAGTCAGAACCGAGTTATCGTAATCCTGGAACAGTACGTCGTGTTCAAAGTCAAACAATTCCCCATTAGATCACCAACCATTCTATTATAAAAACTCGGTCAGGTGCAGTTGATTACAGAAAGATCTAGAACATTTAGAGAGACGTATTCTTTTATCTGCTAAAAGCCTTCCTTCAGATAGACCTTTTTTTTTCCCTGCACCTGCTCACTGACACTCATAATTCTAAAAAAGAGAGAGGTTTTAATTAAATGTTTTGAATTCTGCTTCCAAAATTATGTTAATAGCATGTACGTCTTGAGATTAGGGAAAAAAAAAACTTAAAGGAGAAATCAACTCCGAGTAGGCTCGGTCATTTTCATAATCACATACTTCCCAACACTTTCAAGAAGTGCTTTCACCGATAAATTTATTGTTAGCTTCAACCAAACATAGAAACACCACGAACATAACTTGTTTGTGATAATTCCAAGGAATTCATCTTGGCGTTAATTAAACAAAACGCTCGAATGACTAAATTGTCTGACTGTCTTAAAGACAGACAATAGAAAATTTACTTTACAAGAAATGCAGTTTGTTTCAAAATCCCAAATTTGGCAGTTTTAGTTAATTAACAGCGTTTTAGAACACGCTACCATAAGGATTATTGATGACTCATTTTCGCTGCAGGTATCACATTTAAATATTTATGTTTTGTGACAACAATTTATCACAACATTTGCACTTTGGCCTCAATCCATTTATTTTCACGCTTGCATAAAATTACACTTATGTTTGCTACGAGTTTTTGAAATAAGTCTCAATTAGCACCCTTGTGCTGTAGGTGGCATGTCGACGAGTCAATAACAAATGGAGTAACTGCATAGAAGGACTTTTTTCTTTGAGTTTGAGGTGTTTTTTCCTAGGACGTCCAAGGTATACTTCCCTTTGTCTGGAAGCTGGCAGTAAATAATTTCTCTTTCATCGCATCTCTCCTTGCTCAAACACGACTTTTCTTGAGTTTCCCCGTTTCCGGCGTTTATCAGACGAACAATCAGTTTGATAGCGTTTGGATTAATGAATGTGATAGCCACGGACCCGTCATACACAGTAATATTCTGTCGGTGACTCTCCAGTCGAAGACCCCATTCCCGAAACTCATCCGAGACGCGCGGAAACCCCGGGTTCTCCCCGAATGCCGATGTCGCCAGCACACTAAATGAACAAAGAAATTGCCCCTTAGCGCTTGGACCGTCCCGTCCAAAAATGTTTAATTTGTACAAACCAGCGACAGGCAAATGCACGCTGATTTTGCTGACGGATCCTTCTCTTTCAGTGAAGCACAGCTCATGGGGGAGATTGTCATCCCCTTGGTGTAGAGTTGCTTGAACCAAAATACTCCCTGGGGTCTTAAGTTTTATCGAAGACCTTCCACATTCTGACAGGATATTTTCGTGTTGGTCAACCAACTCAATCTGCCAAGTCTTGAAAAGTTCTGAGATCTGTGGGAAACCTGGATTGTTGCTTACACCTTTTAAAGCTTTGATTGTGAAAGAGCAAAGAAATTCAGATTTCGCGTCCACCGTTTTACGACCGAAGATGTTCAACGTGAAAAAGCCGCTTTCAGGAGCATGAACTTGAATTACAGACTCGTTTTCCATGTTCACGACTGCGCACATTCCGTGAAGATCTTTCTCGTCAAGTCGGAGATGAGCAGACAATAAAACGCCTTTGGGGTTTTGAACGGTGATGGAGGTTCGGCCATTTTCAGCTAAAATGTTTTCCGAGTGGCTTGAAAGGGTCAGGCCCCAGACTCGGAAACGCTCTGATATTAAAGGAAAACCTGGCACAGGACCGGCTCCTTTGTAAGCAGTGACAAAGTATGTGCACAGATACTCCTGGGGCCTGGAATGATCGTAGTAGTTGGCGTAAATGCTCAGTTTATATTCTCCTCTGCTCGGCAAGTGCACTTTTAGGCAGAAACCATTCTCGGTTTTTTCGCTGCAACAGAGCCTGTGGTCTTCCTCTTTCCCGGTTCGTTCGCCAGAAGTCTTGATTAACCTTCCCGTGAGCGAGTCGAAACGCTTTTTACTACAGGTTAGAGTAACACTACATTTACCGTCTTTGGTTTCGATATTCCTTAGCGGGCTGTGCAACTGAAATCCCAGGGATTTAAAATTAAGACTAACTGTGGGAAATCCTCCTCTGTCCTCCCCAACGCCTGCCGTGGAGTAAATGCAGTATCTGACCCCATGTTCCCACTTGGAGTCTATAAGCACCATAACGTCCAGCACAAATTCCCCCGCAGAGGGAAACTGTGCCGTTAGTTTAACTTTGTTATTTTCACGAGCCGGCTCAACACGGACCATATTTCTGGTAGTGGGTCGTTCTCTTCCAGATACACAGTTTTTTAGCACTCCTTTCAGTATGGCGCTGTCCGTTGCATAAAAAGTCATTTCAATTTGCTCGCTGTCTGAAGCAGTATACATGCTCTCTTTGTGGCTACTCAGAGCCACATTCATCATGCGAAGAGGACCTGAAGGGATAGCTAATCTCTCAAAGGCTTCTTTTGTAACCGGTGCATCTAAAAACTGCCATTTCTCTTCAGCAGGGAAACGATTCGTAATTGCAATCGAGGGCGGAATCATGAATTGGTGTACGTTAGGATCTCTGTGGAACATCATGTCCTCCTCGATACTACCTGCGCCCCAAGTTGGATCACAAATAAACCACTTTCCACCGTTCACTCTAATAACATTCCACGAATGGTTTGGTTCAGGAATTTTCTGCCGCATCTGGTAGCCATATCCTTTAGCGAACCCTCTTACTTTCCGTGCTGGGACGTTCGAAGCTCGACAGAGCTCTTGAAATAAATTAGCATACCCTTCACTTATCGTGACGCGTTCCCTAAGCACACTTTCGGCATCTGTACCTTTCCTTGCTGCTGTTTCGAAATAACCCTCCACGTCGAAGAAAATGTTAGTTGTTATCCATCGATAGACAGCAAAAGCCTTGCTTTTTAAGCTTTCATACGGCTCTGTAAGATATTGGCTCAGTTTAGTGACGTTTTCCGTTTCGCTTCTGGGTATCGATTTGACGTGTGCGTCTACCGCCCTCTCCAAGTCAGAGCGAAGTGTAAGCTTACGCCGACGAATGGCTGTTAATGCCCGCCGGCAGCGGATCTGTAAAAGCGCAATTCCAGCAGGTGAAATCGTGCTGATTTTCTCCCTTTTCTCTGGTGAATCCTCATGAAGGAATACCACAGAAGGTCGAGCAAAAATACCTCGTTTCGGTGCGCAAGGAAAATATTGAATTCCTTTGTAACATCCGTCATTTCCTTGCTCTATTTCCTGCTGCATCTCAATTCCAATCCATTCTCCTTCGCCAAGTTCGGTAACACCAACAAACTTTACAACGCCGACATAACCGCGCACATGAACATCATCGCCGATTTGAAACGGGGTAATTAATCCCACACCATTACAGTTTCCAGTTCTCTCTAAATGTACATCTTGATTTTCGAAGCCGCTTTGCTGCTGGCCAATATCTGTGTTCTTGTTCAATGCTTTAAATCCTCGATTTCCTTCTTCTTGAGTATGAACTTGTTTCACTTTAGGAGCATCGGGGACATCTGTGTTGACTTCCAGTGTTTTAGAATTACTGCATCCCATGTTCGATAAAATTCTTGCAAGCTTTCAACATTTGCGCTTTTCTCAAGTGGTAGGTCAAGTTTCGTCGGCTTGATTTGAAATATATTTTTCGCTCTTTCGTTTGGTGGCCGCTTCGCACGTAAGAAACCTTTTCAGCTCTTGCTCTCACATTGTGTTTATGCTAAAAGTGGTGACCACAGAATATACTTAGAGAAAATTAAAAATTCCTTTTTGTTAGGTAGATAAATTATTTATCAGCGGTTTGTGTAAACGACGATATGCCTTTTCTCCGGTTTCCCAGCAACACAGAACTTAATCTACTCTTTCAAGCAGTAAGTAATGGGGAACCAACACAGGATAACAAAATTGACAATAAATCCCATGAGATATGGGCAATAGCGAACAACTTCTGTCCGGTTGATGATTTTAAAATGCTAATTTCACCTCCGGTTGGCAGAAAGAAGAATAACTATTGTCCATTAGTCTGATAAACAACTCTACAATAACAGAATATATATTGCAATATTCTAATAACAAGACACTGCGCTGGTTGGGTATGCTACCAGGAGAACCAATGAGTTACTTCTGCATGGGTTTTTATTTACTTTTCCTAATTATTACAATTTCAGCATTTACCCTTATAAATAAGGCATATTTTTGGTACAAAAGACATCATTTAGTTTCAATCCGAGTCCCGCTAACGTCCCACATAGCAACTGTTTTAAATCATTATTCATAACCATTTGAATTCAACGTTTCATCTCAAAGCTCTTTACAAAAATCGAATGACAGCTTTGGCGAGATTGGGTAAAATAAAATCTACACGTACTTACTTTTCAATTTTTAGTACAAAATTTCAACATTGTGAAACGATTTGCCAGTCAAAATTTTGGAAAATTTTTTAAATTACCGGTAGAGTCTTGGAGACCTGTAGGGTGTCAACAAGGTGTTTTTTTGGATAAGGTGTTTAGACACCTTTATCAACCTTTTGCCGGAATAAAACTTGTCATTTGTCACTGTCAACATACGTAGCTTTACAGTTTACAAAGCCGACAAAGGGAAAAAAGAGGCCGCTAACTTCCATCTCTTCAACAACACCTGTTTATTATTTATTTTGTTCCCGCCCACACGTTCCATCTCTTGTTAGGTTTATTTTTCAAATGTTTCCCAATCTTCTGGCAAAATGGCTGGAATTTGTATTGAAACCCTCCTCAGAGAAGAAATTTTTGAAAGCGCCATTTCTTTTTGAGCGTTTTACGCAACGATTACGTCACAGCAGTAGTTACGTCATGTAGGATAATCTCTCGCGCTAGTGAAGATTTTTCGTGTGCTTTGCCAACTAAAGTCAAACCTGTATTAAGCGGTCACCCACGGGAATAACACAGGTTCCACAGGATAGGGGTACCACGTAAACGCCGTTTAATGCCATAACTGACCACTTATGTACAAAAAAATCCCTCAAAAATGCCCTAACATTGATTTCGGGCGATAAAATGGACTCATTTTTATTTAAAAGGCTATTCTTAGTTTAATTTGAGCTGATACACTTAAAGTGACCGTTCAGTAGAGGTGGGAAAAAAACTAACCGATGGCACTTACTCAAAGGTGACCAAGACCGCTTAACAGTTATTGGAGGGAAACAAATTCGGGACTTTGACAACCGACCGCAAAATACAAGGTGACCACTTAATACAGGTTCTACTGTAGTTTTACCATTTTCATGTGAAATACCCGAAATAAGCTTTGAAATTTCCTCTAAAACGTTAAGTGAAATAAAAGTTAAGAGCTCTGTTTGGATCACAATCCGCCGCAAGAGTCACTCGTACCAGTTCTCTCCGCGGCACATCATCTCCGAGGACATCACGAAGTTGTTCAATACAACGCTCTATTTGACTGTTACCACGTGGCATGACGTCATCATCGTTGTCATCATCACTGTCCTCCGAATATTCAACAAAATCGTCCTCGAGCAGGCCTTCAAAATCTTCTAAACGGGTAATCTGTGGATTAAAAGACACGATCAGCGCGCTGGAATTCATGGCCAATCCAGGGTAACTGGATTACGTTCTTTGGCGAGACCTAGAGGAAGGACGTGCAACCCTCACAATGACTCTCTCCCTCCTGAATATAAAAAAATAAAGGCCAACTACCTGGGAAACGTGATGAAAAACCGGAAAGGGAAGACTGGTATCTAGACCGGACAAATACTAAGGGTCTCAAATAGCTGAGAAGAATGTGCTATCTTTGCTATGACATCTGGAAATGATTAGACTTTCTAGTCTTCTTTGATGAGGAAGAAAACCTGAACTCTCGTCTCCTGCATCTTGTCTGTACTAGTTAGCAGTGGACGTTAAAGAACCCACGCACTTCTCTCAAAGAGTAGGGAATGTAGCTCCGGTGTTGTGGTCTGGCCTTGTTTCAAAAAATTCCTAAGTTGGGAGCACCTGCAAAATTCCCTTTCAGCAATTGTAACTCCTCAATGTAGTCTGGGTTAAGTCCCCCACAATGTTGTAAAGCGCATTAGGGAATTTTCCTGTAGAGAGTGCGTTACATAAATGCATCGTTATCATCATCATCCAATGTTGGAGGAGAAGCGGTACTCCTACCGGTACTCCAGCAAGTGAAAGAGCAAGTCTCGTATGCAGAGTTACGAGATAAAATAGAAGGGGGTAACTTCCATTCAAAGATATTATATTGATACTTACAGCAAGTGCCTGATTTACTTCCTCTGTTATTGGTTTAGCCTGTGGCCTAAATTATAAGAAAACGTTTGTCATCCAATGAGATGTGTTGGTCTTACGACCTGAATGCAAGTTAAAGAGGATGAACCTCAGAGACTGAAAACCCCACTGAGCCTCAATAATCCCTCTACAGTTGTTCTTAGATCACCTACGTTTTCCCGAATTTCTGTGTGGAATCAGATTGGTATAAAGGTTGGAGTTTGCTTCGTAGGCGAGTCATAAGTAAAGCATGGTCAATACAATGAAGGAGTGTTTTTTTTATGACTCGCTGACCTTACCGTATATCCAACCAAAATTCACTTACATGTTTTGACGAATTCTGTCCTCGATACTTTGTTTCAAAGTGCCAGGGAGCTCTTCAAACATTTCTAATTCCAAGACTTCAGGATGCAACGTTATGTAGTTAAATGATTCTTCCTGAAAAAAAATAACAAAAAACAAAAAACATAGGTACTCTTCACGTAGGGTTATGTCGCAATATCAAAATACCAAAACTGGGAATTAATTTTAAGTTGACTCATGAAAGACGAACTTGGAAATTTTTGGCACGAATTTTAAAGAGAAGCATTTGCAAACCGTGAGGTACATGTAGTCCCGTTCAGTGCTCTACGCGTCTCCTACCTTTAAACGAGCCACAGAATACTGCTCCGCCATACCAAGATACAGCAAAACGTTATCTTCATCGATGTTTCGAAGTAAGACTCCCTCACAAATTTCTTTTAGAGAATCCACCTGGAATTGAAAATGCCAAATTTTCTGTAAAAAGCCATCAAAAATCGAAGAAAAATAGAGACAGATACTAGTAATAAATTCCTTAGCGACCAAGAGTTCTCACTGAGATGTAGACGGCCAATCCTGGCAAGGAAAACATCACGAAGAATGAAGACTCGACGAAACAACAAGCAAAACACCTGAAGCGCGGGAAAACGCGTGTGACCAGGTCGTGATTGGTTTTGGTTTAAATCTGAATGGTTGAGAGTGTGGCGCGGGTTTTCTGAAACAAACAACCGGAATAAAGCAAAACCAAAGCGATTCCCAATTAGTTTTGACGCTCTTTTAAAAATTGCTCTATCGAGAGATTTCTGTTTTCCCATACGAACCATGGAATTAAATTCTAAATGAGTACTGCTTACGCTAATGCTCCGACTGCATTAATTGTGTCAAACACAAAGAAGAACGTGGTCGAAAGAAAGAATTTTACCCCTTACCTCGTACTTATCGCTCAATGCTATCACCTCGGCAAGCTCGTCCAAACTAAGGCTGTCCTTATCAAGAATACCGCTGTACAGATAACCAAGGAACTTGTAGAACAAACATGGACTCGTGTCGGGAATTAAAATCCGCCTGAAAACCAACAAATTGTATCTATCACTGGCAACTCAGCCAACAAACTCATTAGACAAGTAAATGTCGACCAGACTGAGGAGTTCAGAAATACGCCATTCTTTCTTCCTCTCTATCTAAAGGAAATGTTTCTTTATTTTTATCACTTAGGTTTGGGTCCAGTAACATTGGTAAACGGATTTTCTTAAGGCGTCGATCACTTCGGTCCGTACGTGTATTTTCTATGCATTTCCTTTCTTCCGTTCACACGCAAACGAGTGAGAAACCAGACATTTTTGCAATCGGTCCCTTAAGGCGATAAATTCACGAAGTAACGACCTCTAGGTATTCCTGGGGGTTCGATGAGGTAAACGAGTAAAACGCAAGATATTGCTAACATTGACGTAACTACTCCTTTAGAGAGTTTTTCGATTGAGTGTCGTACAACCAAACACAGAAGTAATCACAACACTTTTGCTTGGTTAAGAGGCTGGGGAAAGTTCTACAGACCAATCAGGGAACCAGAACTAAACTAGGCTAATTTTAAAATTCAGTTTAAAATTGCTCTTCTTATTTAAACCAACTGCTTCTCAGGTCAAGCTTTTCCACTCCTTTTTTTCGACTGCGAACTGGTGAACCAGTTGCGTAAACAATATGTAAACGATCAGCATCGCACCCCAAAAAAGGAGCTTTAACAAAGCCCTCGTACCTTTCTATAGATTCTTTCATGCCACTCAGTAGTGCCCGTCTAAACCAATCACAACGTGTAGCTACAATAACACGATGGGCAGCAATCTCCATTACGTTCTGATCACATATTCTTTTGCACTCTGTGCATGCGGAGTAATGAGATAAGTCTGTTTTGTCAAAAATAAATTTCATGTCTGCATGAGCTCCAGATATCAATAGCTGGTTGACTGATTGAGCCAGCGGGCTCTTATCAGCCGGCGGACAAGTTATTACTGACTCCACACGACCTCTGCTCTTCTACAAGAAAGAAGAGAAAGTCAACTTAATTAAAAAGCCTTTTTGTCATAAAAATAATCTTATGAAAAGAAATTTCGAGAAACGTTTGATTGCTTATTTAAACGCTAAAGCGTTCTTTAAATACATACAACCTCTAAAAACTTATAAACAGGAAATAGGTTATATGTCTCCTTTCCCCTTCCCCCCCCCCAAACTTACTGTTCATCGACAGAGTTTAAACTATTCCTGTATTATAATAAGGATATCATGAATAAGCAATCACATGATTTTCACGAAAAGTTCAGATGGATCAAACAAGAAACAGTTATATGTCTCCCCTCCCACCCCCCCCAAAAAAAGAATAAATAAATTTCGAGAGACTGACCGCAGTGAATATTAATGACTGTTTTACCATCGCCATGTTCTGTAAGTGTTCCCACTCATTTTTTCTCAGTAATAAGGAAGTTTTTACATCCATGAAGAGCGATTTCTCCTTAAAAAGTTACCTTTTCTCTAGTGATGTCCTCGTCCTTGTCCTCACTAAAACTCTCCTTTCGGAAACCAAGTTCCTGAACAAGATTGGTAAACTGGTCTTCATGAATTAAAGCAATTGTCTGTTCCACCACCGGCTCAAGAATATCTTTGTTTGCTAACACTTTTCGTAAACTAAGACTCTGCGAAAAGAAATAAGTTTATGCACAAAAGTCACAAAATCACCACCCATATGCCCCAGGAAAACTTTGTGACAAATAATAGGCGCCTTGTTCAAAAACTGACCAGCGAGGTTTACCAGTAAGTTTTCTTTAACAGATGTTCCTAACAACCTTTCTTCCCGATGTAAACAGTCTACAAGTTTTACTGACGAGTGCAACTATCATGATCTGAAAACTAACAAATTAAAATAAAGCTTTTGTTTAAGTTGTTTGATAAATTTTGGTCTATTGTAGAACCACTTGTTGAATTATTGATGCCCTAAAATGTTCCTATATAATAATTATGACGTTAAATTACTTGCTATAGATCGGCCAATTCTTACCACGAATGACGTCCACTCTTTACACAAATACTTCCACTGCTTCCATGGCATCTTTTTCTCAAATATTCTTGGAAATTTATGGAGAGTGCGAATGTGATCTGGTATCTGCATTGATTAAAATAAAACATCATCTACATGCTCGATGATTAACTGGACTCTCACCTTGTTTCTCTAACCTCAAAGCTTTGAACAGTTACATGAAATCCCAACGTATTTCATACAAGTCCACCCCTAAACAGCCCCACCCCCTCCCCCTACATCTAACCATTGGTCTTCCCCAGCCTCTCTCCTTCAAGCCACCTCTGCATACGTCACTGTTGATCCTTTTCCAGTCCTGTCTCTCAGTATACCCACTCTACTAATACAATAGTCTCTTCTAATAACACATACTTATTATTACTGACCTCTAGCATCATATTATCCATGGTCTTTAACACAGACCTCAGCTTCTGTTCTTCTGATAAAGAAGTAAAATCCCCCCTGAAACAGCGAGAATATGTGGACATTAAGGATAATACTAATTAAAAATTCGAAAACAAATACTAGTGTTACTACTAGTGCTAGTGCTGGTATTTAAAATAATGACAGATAACTATTACAAAAATAGTGATAAGAATAATTAATTTGATAGTAATAATAATAATACATTATTTATCCCAATTGACGATAGTAACTATAAATTATATAATTGTTTATCGAAAAAAATACCAGGTGATAAAACATTGTTAATTTTATGAACAGATAGTGATTTAAAGTTGAGTTTTATATGGGTTCAACTCCTATTAAAAAGGATTTGCAAAGAATTTGGAATGTGAAGGCTTTCTGTTGAAACAGGATCCATGCTTTAATCCCAATGAATAATAGTTAGTACACATAAAGTCAGCCTTAGCTTTTGTTCAACAAATATTAATCAATTTAATCTAAATGTAGGGTCAGAGCTTGGGAAAAAAGATTTTCTCACCTTTTTTGCAGCAGAAACATAAGTGATGATGAGACCTTATCATGAAATCTCTTAAGTGTTATAACTTCTCTAAGGTGAACTGCCTGAAGATTAAACAAATTTAACACAAATTAAAATCATAATAATATCTCTTAGTTAGTATGTGAGCTATGATTGGTGCATCTTATAACCTGTAACACAAATCAAAATCATAATAATATCTCTTAGTTAGTCTGTGAGCTATGATTGGTGCATCTTATAACCTGTAACACAAATCAAAATCATAATAATATCTCTTAGTTAGTATGTGAGCTATGATTGGTGCATCTTATAACCTGTAACACAAATCAAAATCATAATAATATCTCTTAGTTAGTATGTGAGCTATGATTGGTGCATCTTATAACCTTGTTTTCTCTATCCGTACTGTAAGTGACAGAACTTACTATACTAACATCAAACTGAGTTTACTTACAAAGAGGAATTAAACATTCCCATTCCCAAAATTTCATAGAATAAACATGAACATAGCCACACAAACAATGAGCACAGCCACACTCCACTCTCTATCTATACCTGATTATTGCATAATTATGCAATTCATGACATTTAATTGGTTTTGCAACCAGGGTACATGATCAAAGTTAAAATTAAAGTTCCCTTTTCATAATTTGTTCTTTTCTTTTTGATGAAGTAGATTTACCAGTAGTATGATCTAAAAATACTTTGTATTTACTCACATTTCTGAGCGTTCTACTTAATGAAGTTGCCATCTTTGGAAGATGTGTTTTCGATTTATGATCTTTGTCTACTTTCCGTGTAATTGTCTCCAGAGCACAATTGGCATCACTTCCCAGCTGAGTGGATGTTAACCAAATCTTCTCAATCTATGTACAGAAAAAGAACACAATGGAGTAATAGGAAATAGTAGGCTGCCCCCTTCTGTTACAAATTCCTCCCTCAACCCTTGTACAAGCTTATTGATCTTGAAATAACCTGTTCTTGACCCAGAAACTGGGTCAAGAGATGAAGGAAGGTTAATTAATTTCAGATAACTTTGCTCTGTTTCCAAGCCAGTTTGTTGGAACCATTCAATATTTCAGATGGGGAGAAAGACACTGCAAGAGCACTTCTTGTCCCAATATCAATTTTGTTTATTATTTGTTATAAAAACATTTTAATTACAATAGTACCAACCAATCTATCAACAATTACTTGATGTTAAAAGATAGAGCCATGAAGCTTAACTGTTATTAATAGTTATTTCAAATTCACAAACCTCTGGAATAAGATGCAAGGCCATGTCTTCCCTCTCAGACTCACTGAGTCCAGATAAAGCACCTTGGAAAACTGTCAAGAATTTCTCCACTAGTTCCACAAAACAAGGCAACCTAGGAGGAAAAAAAACAATTAATAAAGAAATATAGAACTAGTGTAATACCATTTTTCATGTCACACTGTACATGGGCACAGTAAAACTGAAGTCAGTGCTTGATTGAACAAAAACAGAAAAAGAAGACAAGTGTGCCAAGTGGAACCAAATGAGTCATAACCTAGTGCTGAAGGAATTTCCAGAAGATCCCAAAATATTGGAAAATGTTTCTTCTTTTACCTCTTCCAACAGTGCTGAATAATATCTTGTCTCTCTTCTCTTGATAGGTCAGACTTGTGTTTGGTAAAAATGTCACAGAGCAAAACAAACTTCAACATTCCTGGTAAGAATAGGATAACAGCGGAACATTGGTAATTTAATGAAACTTCAGTTAATTTTTTTTACTCCAAACCACCTTTGTGTAATCAACAACTCCAGTCTTAATAGTTCTACAATGGATAGAAGGTAAGAAAAGTACTTCTTAGGACATCATTGATAATCGTGTTATGTTAGTTAACTGTTTAAACAAATTTCTGATTTATCCACTGGTGGCTTGTCCCCAAATAATCACAGAGGAGTGAGGGTGGCAAAGGGTATATAGATGATGCACAATTAGGCCCAAAATTAATATATAATTATGTGACGCATTAATTTTAACAAAAGGCAAGGGGAAGACTGAGATTTGAAGCTCTCTCTTTTAAATTTTTGATGCATGAAATACTGTTCAAAGTACATGTGACATGTATTTTTTTAAAATTTGTACATGAAACAGGATCAGGATACCCCTTTGCTACCCTATGGAGTAAAGTTATCCCATTTCAGCAGAGTACCAGCTCAAATACTGTGATGCACTAATCGGTTGATGTATCAGCAGTACCACACCAATGGCACAGGATGGAACAGTGACTGAATCCATGCCAACCTGGACATGGAGCAAGTCTAAAGGGTTTGAGGCATGAAGCACAGAGACTGTCAGACTGAGCACCTATACTTGTTCTTGCTGTGACCCTCTTCTTTGTCAACAGCAAGGATCAACAAAGGACATCCACTTTGAAGAGCTGCTCATATCAATTAGACAAACTATAATTGTTAAGATAAATTATTTACCTATTGATAGTTGCCTCAGTGACATTTTGGTAACTTTGACTATCTTTAGAGGATCTACCCTACATCCATTTCCAGTGTTGACAGTTCCATTACTTGTTCTATCATGACGAAATCCTGAGGCTAAAGATTCTGATATTTGTAAAATGTACTCCAATATACTATATAAGTCACTGAGAAGACTTTTGATCCCTGTGAAATAAAGAAAAAGATAATTCTCAACAGTTCTGTGGTGTAGAATTGTAGTAGACTGAGGATAGTACCATTTTGATAGTAAAGACAAGATGGGTATCCATTGTGCTTCCATGATTAACCCTTTCACTCCCACAAGTGACCAAGACAGAATTTCTCCTAACAATACCAATACAATATCAGCAGGCAGGTGATGAGAATAGAGAAGAATAACAATCATGGGATCATTAGTTGATCCAATACCAAATTCTCTGAACTAAGGATTAACACTTTATGTGGAAAAAACCCTGCCAACTGTGAAAAGGGTTAAAGGTGCATGGACAAGGTTACATTAAGAACAAAAGCAAGATGGAGAATTTGGAAGGTCGTGGGATCCAAGCCAAGTTATGAGTATTTATTCAATAATACCCAACCACCCATGAGCAGAGATGTCCTATGGACTTAAATATAATTAAAGTGAATTAAAGATACACATCAGTTGGCCATTGCAAAGAGAGGTTCTCTTTTCACTGACTCTAACTTGAACCACAACTATTTTGAAATGTTTTCTCTGGAGGGTAGAAAACCAAAAAACCTACAGAAAGGGCCTTGGAGCAGGGAGCAGTCTATTTCTTCAGAAATTACATGTAACCCAAGCCATATGCTGCATTTGAATCAGGAATAAACATGGATCATTTTTTTATGAGGATTGAATCATGCTGTGGCCAGATCCATGAGAGGCATTCTCCTCTGAGAGTAGTTTTCAAAATGCTTTCACTTTTAAATTAACCACAATAAGAAAACTTGAAAGAGAATTGGTATCTTAAATAAGAAAGACAGGATTGAGGCCACAGTCATGAATGATAAAGGATGTTGTCCTTCTGATGGAAGCCCTAGAAACAAATCTTTTTTTGTATCTCTTAATCAAATCTTAGCCATGGCATGTTGTTGAAATCTTCTCCCATTGAGCCTCTCTGTGTATAGAGAGACAATGTTTCAAAGCTGATGCTACGCTGTAAATTACTGAAGGCTGCCTGATTCACTTTAACAATTAACAAAGGGGAAGCTGGAAATGAAATAGATCTAACATAAAATGTTCTTAAACATCATCAATAGCTTACTATTTTTCACAGCTGTTGCTTCAAGATACTCAGTACAAAGCTTGCTTAGATGTCCAATATCCTTCCCATTCAACTGGGAAATTTTTTGAAGCTCTTTTGCAGTTTCATCTGAGATGTCAGCTGGCAAACAACTGGTGTACAAGTAATGTAACAGTGCCCTTAGCACATCTGATGGCTGATTTTCTAATAAAGGAGGAATTTTGTCCCATGTACAGACATCAGTAAAGAAACAAGAAAGGACTGTCTTGTGGGCTTGGAACTAAAAAACAATACAAAAATAAAGATTAAAAAAAAAGTGGACCAGGATGAAGAAAAAGGTGTCTTGGGAACCCAGTGACCCTTTGATACCATAGTTTGTCCCACTTTCTGCACCACAAATCATTGTAGGGTACTTCCACCCTTCCCAGACCAGATGCTACTTAATTGCTGGTAGTTCCTACCACTAACTCAAACTTCCCTCACAGATTGTGGGTACCCATTCAAACTCTACCGTAAAAAGAGGCACAGAAAGGTGTGTCGCCTATCATTTACAAGAGGACATAATTTCATGACACCAGCCAGAGATCAAACAATAGTAAGACCTCTTGATCCACAGTCTAGCACGTGAAATGGCAAAAGGGCCAACCCAGCTTTAACTGAAAACACTTGATCTAACTTGAAGGTAAATTACATTCCAATAATGTCACCCAGGATGTCAATCCATACATTTATTGTAAACAATGAACATTGCAATCATGAACTAATAATAAAAGAAATCTGATGATGCAGAAAAGTTTGAGATGATCAAAACATCTTCTGGGTCAAGAAATATAGGAGGCTCATGCACAAATGTTTTTGAAACATGGACAGCAGCTGAAAGGTTAAAGATCTCATTTCTAGTGCTCACTAACCTTTCTGGTCTGCACCTTTTATGTTTAAAATGCAAAAACCATGACCTAACAGTCAATAATTTACACCAAAGTATGCCAGAATTACTCTTTTGTTTGCCATCTGCATCTCAAAAATGTCTTTGCTTAAATCCTTGAATATACCCACTGCATATGACTGTATTTGGAAATATTAAGTACTAGCTAATAATACTTAGTAACTGCCTCAGCTATAATATTACATGTATAGACTTAAATAAAATAGGCTAAATATATCTAATTAGACATTTTGGTGTGTAGTATTGCTGAGTATTTTTACAAGTTGTGCCATATTTTAAAGAGCGCATAGGGCATGTCAAAATACAAACAACTATTATAATTTGTTATCCAACTGCTTGATTCTATGCTTATTTCTCATAAGGCTGAAAAAGTGAAGCAGATAGAGAGGCGTAGTGTGTTTAGTGGATCATTACCGGTTAAACAGGTCTTTTTTTTTATGGACAAAAATACAAAATATTCAGCTGGCCTTAAATGTGGCATGATATTTGTGCTTGATTCACAGACTCTACTATTAAATAAAAATTCACTATAAAAGCCAAAATTGACTTCATTATTCAAACTATTAGATTGTTAATGAGTCACCTTTTCACCATTGCTAGCAGTAAGGGTGATATCTGTGAAAAAGCCCTCCTTCAATGCAGAAAGTAAGGAATATGGACCATGTGAAAGATTTGTAGAGTTCACTTGATCCACCTGGGTTGAAAACACATGTATTTAATTCCAAAATGAAAGGGTCTACCAAACAGATTCTGAGAAACTAATTAAAAAGATAAATGCAAAATTGGGAAATTGTAATAATGCATTTTACAAAGCTGGCATAGTCACTGAAAAAATATATAGGGCTTGGATCTCAGTACGGCAAAATAATTTGCCACAGTGATATAATTATTATAAACTTTGACAAATGTTAGAGTAGAGCAGAAAATAATGAGTCTAATAAACTATCATTTTCCTTTACAGAGTGACACCTTTAACCAATTTCTGAAAAGTTTTAAGTCATGATAAATAATGAGAAGTGTCATCCTAATGACAATTGTTTTTGGAATGTGGTGCTCATTCTGAATTCATTATTTTCCAGACCAGATTTTTTTTTTTACATTTCTAGTGATTGTGATGTTGATAGGGAAATACTAAATGCAAAGCTGTTGAACATATTTTTACCTTTCGACAGCACAACTTTAAATGTCTGTCATAACACAAGACCAGCTGGTTTGATTCAAGAGAACACTATAGAGCAAAAAATTACAGAATTGCCTGTTGTAAGGAAATGAGAAACCGTAACACTGACTGCATGTACACAAAAAGGAACTTTATGTAGAAATTACAGAAACATGAAAAATGCAAGACTGGAGTGACAGAAGGAAAGAAATTAAAAGAAAGAAAAAAGAAGAAAGAATGGAAGGAATCGGAGGGCATCCAAGAAAGGAGAAAAGGGTAACATTCACAAGCCTGTCGCCAAATCCTTCAAAACAAAAAGCTGTTCACTTCCTGAAGAGAGCAAAAAGGGTTTTTCCCTTACAAAATCCATTTGTTTTCAAGTAGAAAGGTAATAAGAAGAAAGAATTAGTAATACATGAATTAAGGGATACTGATGAATTCAAATCCAAATTCTCAGTACTAAAATGATACATAATGTATGGCAATGTAAGGAGTATTTGGATCAATATCAGTATCCAGGCAACTGCCCACCTACCCCTCCCCTAACCCAACATTAACCCTAATTTGTTATCAATTGACTGTTGTTGAGTTAGGGGAGGGGTAGGTGGGCAGTTGCCCAGATACTGATATTGATCCGAGTATTTCATGATGACAATTGACTTTAGATTGGCCAATAAGGTAAAAAAAAAAAAGTGTATACAAGGCTTACAAGGAGTAAATTAGTAACAGCAATGTTATTACCTGTTACCAAGTTGTCATTTGACACCACCTTACATGATCTTAACATGGTTGATATGTTTAAGTTGCATTTTTTTAAGAAAAGAAAATAAAAACCACCAAAGACTGGTCATCCAATTTGCATCTTTCAATACAAATTTAGTAGTCAAAACTTTTTTCTACTTGTTACGAGCAACCAAAACAGGTTACTTATTCAGCAATATACTACTTTTGACTTACTCTTAAAGCAATTTTGTCAACATTGCTGCCATAACAAACCAACTCTCCTGAAAAGCCATCGACCTGCACAAGAAAAAGAAGACTCTTTGCCCCACATATAAATTTATTAACAATTTGTGATTTGAAGAAATCTAATTCTGCCACTAAAAACAGTTGTGAAATAGAGCTTTAAGTTATAAACATTCTTAACAGAACAGTATTCAAGAGCAAACAATTATTTCAACAAATACACCTGTAACACTACTAGATCAAGAATTGCATGATGAATATAATTTAGAGGCGAGTTGTTTTACCAAAGATAATCTCCAGATCCAGAGGAGAGACACTTTGGTATTAAATTTCTAGCATTCAAACAAAAAGCTTGCAAACACTAACTTGTCTAAAGTTCTCTTACCACAAATGTTTCACAAGAAAAGAAAGGAAGTGTATCTTGTTCTGATGTTGGAGGCACACTCCAGATCAGATCACCACCTTCCTCTAAACTGAATTGTACCCTGAAAAAGGAAACAGATTATCAATTCTATACAAAGAAATCATAAATATAATAGTAATTTATGTAAAAATTAAGTCCATTTTTATTAAAAACTCACAGAAATATGCAGGAGGACAGAGGAACAAGACACAGTTTGAGAGAGTGGGGAATAAATAACTAATTATAAATGGTAGAATACCTGATTAGATGATTATAAATGACTGAAAACAAATCAAAGAAGAAATTTCTTTGCATACAAGGTGATAGCAGGTGATGGGAAATTCATTGGTCTAATAGTAAGTGCAATGAACTCCAGGCCAGGTCTCGAACTCAGACCTCTTGCCCTGGTCAATGCATTGTGGTCTTGGGCAAAATTTATCATTTACTCACAAGTAGTGCCTCTCCAGCCAAGAGTATAAATGCATACCAACAAATTAACAAGAAAGCCTGGTGAAATACTAGGGGGAGAGGGGGGTAACCTTGCAATGGACTATCTAGCTACCCATCCAGGGGAAAGCAGTGCTACTCCTTGGCCCTTCATGCTTGGGAAACCAGAATAAGCTCCAACTGGGTAGGCCACTTGGCTTGAGTACAGACTTAACTTATCAAAAAAGTTTGAGTGAAGTAAGGTACCCTTTCTGCTGTTTCAGTAATAATATTTTAAATATTTTAACTCTGCAATTGTTTTTCAATAAGCTTTGCTCCCCTAAATGTGTATTCTTAAATTAAGTTTCTTGGCAATTTCCCAGGATGTGTCCTTATTCATTTGATAGAGCTCCATCAAAAAAAAGTTACAAAACAGGTGGAAATTATTATTATTAGTGGTAGAACTTAATCATATAATTATTAACTTATGCTGTTGGCTCTCAAGATACGCAGTCTCTATATCTCAAAATAAACCAATGAATAACTACATCAAAGTAACGCTACAGAGCTGCGTGTTTGACTACATCACTAAAAAGTAATTTTAAGGGCTTGTTGAAGTGTCGCATAAACGTTCGAGACTAAATAGAACCCAACAAAATTAAATTTTCACCACAAAACATTTGCGCCCACAGACAGAAAATAGGATGAGCTATTCAAATCATTAAAAAATATACAGTTTACAGAAATGAATAAGAAGTTACCCTTCGACGTCTGGGTATCTCTCTTCTTGTAGTTTGCAAGACACTATCTGAAAACATTCATTGTCGAGAGAAATGTCAGCAAAACTGAAACCATTATTGATTTTTGTGGCAAATAATTTTCTGGGATTTGACGTTACCTCCCAACAGCCGAGCAGATCTTCCTCAGAAGGTTTTCTATCACAAACCTCATCCATTTAACTGGAATAAGCAGTAATTACTCCATTATATAGATAATCTATGCGGTATGTTGTTAGGAACTTCTATGTTTTCATTTAAATTCCTATTCTTCGACGCGACTAAACTGGTTCGGAATACAACAACTTCGTTTTAGATCGGCTCGGATCGGCACTGCTCGGTCAAGGTCGGCCATTGGTACGTTGCCATGCCCCAATGCGTCTTGGGTAAATAACATTAGTAGGGAAAAAGGAGGAACTTGAGAGCTAACTATTGTCTTGGTTAAGAAGTCTGTTTTGAACCAGTTGTAAAATGTCTCTGTCCTTTTCTTTGGAGGAGAATTATTCTCTTTTGCCACTCAATGATTCATTTGTACCAAATGAGTTAGGTTCACCTTCACGTCATGGACGTGTGAAAGGTTACGACGAAGAGTTTGATCCGCCATTGGAAAGCAAGTACAAATGTACTATTTGTCATCTTGGTCTTCGAAATCCTGTGCAGACGTTCTGCGGTCACAGATTCTGTAGAGAATGCATTTTACACTCAATAAGGTACTATGTGAAATGTAGTTGAAGTTGGGATGTTGTATTAGAATGATTTTAAAATTACAAATAGTCGAATAATACAAGAAAGTAGAAATAACTAATCTTATATACATATTAAATACTTTGAAATCCCTTCATGTCATTTGTTTGCTTCGAATCTTAAACGATCAGTTCGCATATTGGATCGATTTTTCAGCAGTTTGTTCGGCAGTCTGAAATTTGATTCTGTGTCGATTTTGATCGATCGATTGCCTAGAGTTTGCAGACCACCCTAGGTACCTGGTAGTGAAATGGCGGATGCGTAAATTCAGTGTGCACTGAAAGAGTACTTTGGAAAATTTTAGGTTTCTTCGCGTATGAGCGATTGTTTGTCATTACTTAAATAGAGACTATATAAGGCTTTGACAGTCACAAATGAAAGACAAATGCATTAAGTTATGAATAAAGGGGTAAGTTTGTAAAGAAACTGTGTTGCTGCGTCGGTGAAAGAGTACTTTTAGTGAAAATTTTAGGTTTCTTCGCGTATGAGCGATTGTTGTCAGTACACAATCGTGTAGCGATACACAATCGACGAAGGGCTATATAAGGCTTTGACAGTCACGTTTTCAACCCAGTTGTTAACACTAAATTACCTGCATTAAGTTATGGCTACGTATATGTAACTGAATTATTTGCTCTTATTTTAATTCATGCATTCCGAACTTGATATTTCTCTTTTCCCTCATTAACTATGACACTAAGAAATTGAAGCTAATAAACTAATTGTGTTAGTACAGTGCACCTATGCTCAAGGTTATTCAAAGTCCTTAGATTGGCAAAAGGAAATCAGAACATGGTTGCCAGAAATATAATTTTAATCGAAGTAATAGCAAGCAATTGTCGTTGAATTTTAACATGGCCTCTCAAGTAATTGCTTGAGAACTAGTTCATAATATTTCATGTGAATAAAGTCTCTATTAGTATGAATCTAGACATCGATAACTGAGAGGTCTGTACTGGGTACAGGCAGGTTATGTGTTAGTCCTTTTCTTCGGATTGAGAAATTTGCTTGGCATAAGAGTCATGGCTTTCGGTAGAAACAAAGGCTATGTTTATATATATGTATGCTATGCTATATATATGTTTTAATTGCGGAATTACTTTAATATATTACTGCTTAGGTATCTGTGCGTGTGTTATTAGTAATCAAGCCAACAAGCAGGCCACAAGTTAGGCCACAAGTTCTAGCTTCTAAGAAAGTTTTAGTTTTCCTCTCACCCACACCATTGTCAGTTTTGATTGTTTCTTTATTTCATTGGTGTTTGTAATTTATTCCTGGTTACTGGATCATTGTTATAGTATGTTCATTAAATATCTTTTATGTAGTAGTCAAGTGTGCTATTTAGGTAGGATATATATATGCATTAAAAAAACTGTCAAGTCCCAAAACTAGCCTCTGTGTGTTGTGTTGTTTAGGCTGATGTTATCTCCCTTTAATTCGAGGTAATAAAATTGAAAATGTTACAGCTTGCTTATTGTATACTTGACCACTGAAGACAGGTTGCCTCTTTGGTGACTCTTACTGAAAAAGTTTTTTCTACATGCCATAGTGACCAAAATGGTTGCAGCTTAGTTATTTATTCACTTATTTTGTGCAATTATCAATATAAGATTTTCAACTGCCTATTATAATATTAAATTTTAAACTATACCAAAATATTAAACCGCTCTAGCAATACAGTACTGAACAAGAGGACAGACTCATGAATGATAATACTGATGGGTCATGTCGCATGCTAGGCACTTCACTCAAAACCTGTCACTAAGCAGTTAGGTAGTGAGAAATGCAGTCCTTAAGATTGTAACATTTGTTTTATTCATTCATATCCTTCATTACTTGTTTTAGGGATAGCCATGGTGACTCACTTTGCCCTTTGGATAGAACACCTTTGTCAGAATCACAGGTAAAGCACTTTTCTCTTAATTCAACCCTTAGTGACAAGCTTCCAATTTCTCCTTACAATATCACCCCAGAATCATACATTAAGGTCCCAAGAATAAAGGAAATGATTACTAACTAAAGATGCTCTTGATTGTTGAACAGATTCTCTTTACCTGCACCACAGTTATAAAATATATGGAGAGCAATATGGATAATTACATATACTGATGTTGGTGTAATGGGTTGAACATTTAACTCTGAAGATCTAAATAATTATTCTCCACACTGGTTATAATTCATCACTTACACTTTTTGAAGTAAAATTTGGTGGTTAATCAAGCAATATGTAGTTGATCAATTTTCCACTTCTTGTCACCTTTTCTACTTGAAAATGTATGGATGTTGTGAAGAGAAATTCCTAGGAGTGAAAAGGCCAAGTTGAATATGAAAAGCATTGAAATTTAGACAGTATATTTTGCATTTTTAGTCAAATTTCTCGTCTGGTACACGATGATGAGATAAACATTAATTAATATGAAACATCATGTGGTAATTATGACTTAATTAGCCTAAATTGGTAAATTGTAACAAAACTTTTAAGTCAATTTTTTTTTCATCTTTATTCCTTAGTTTTACCCAGACAAATTTGTGGAGCGCGAAATTTTGGAATTTGAAGTATTTTGTCAAGCCAAGAAACAATCTGGGTGTCTATGGAAAGGTCCCCTTTCAACATTAGAGGTATGAACAGAGTGTGCTTGTGCACTCAAATTTTATGGTAATTTGTTAGTATCATCTGAGTTGATAATGTAAAAAAGCCACTGTTAAGAGTTTCAAAGCTGATGTCTCGAGCGTTAGCCTTTTGTCAGAGCAAATGAGGAAGGGCTAACAGCAGAGTACCAGCTTTGAAACTCTTAAGGTTGGCCGGTTTATGTCATTAACTCAGTTGTTAATATTAAATTACCTTGTTATACTCTCCCACCAATGCAGCATCCGCCAAAGCTTATCCCTTTACTCAATGATATTTTTAGCTCTGCTTGGGTGGCAGAAGATGTAAGTTGTTTCCAGTTAAATTCAGAAAAATGTTATAAACACTTTGAAGTGAATGTGACAGGGCATTTATGTACTGACCAATCACAAAAAATTGTAAGACATACATGCAAACCTCAAAGCCACAGACTAATTGAAAGGCTCAGAGCAAGAACGATCCCTTGATTTTTCGGCCATTTTTGAAAGTGTTCAGAAGTAGTTGAATTTTGGCATGTGGACTAAGTTTTACTCAATATACACTGTTTTGTTTTTTTTTTGCTGATTTGCGCTTCGTTTTCAAGAAATAACGTATGCAAAAAACCTTGAATTTCGTAGCGGCTTTCATTGAATGAAGCCGAAACAAAAGAAGCCTTTTGTTTCATCAAAACAATACAGCCCCCGAGAACTTGCATATTCATAACCAGCTTAAAGAAAGAGCATGTTTTTTGTATTGAGTTTAAAACACCGTTTAGCAAACATCAAATATCCTTGAACAAACTTGCGCTACGGCAGAATTGAAGACAAAACCAAAGATACGTGATTAGCCAAAAGTTTATACGAAAACGCTCCTGTCGAACGCTTACGCGAAGGAGTGCCGCAGTTTTATTTGACGATAAAATTTAAGTCGTGTAATCGAATGTTCTCGTAGCACAGTCGGTTAGGTTATTACCTCTGATGTTTGTTAAAGGCTTATTCATTGAGATGCAGAAACAATATTTTGCAATGAATTCTGATATTTATGGTTTTCCTAGTTTCACAGACTGAAAGTAATTGACTGAAGACACTCTAAGAATCAAATAGTAATACACAATTTTACAACTCATATGTCAGAAACCATGGGCAATAGTTTTGTTGTTACGTTGCACTAAGAGACTGGAAATAGGTGAATATAAGAAACTGGAAACTCATGAGAAGGATCTTTGGTCTATTAGAGAAAAAGGTTGTCTTATATGCTCAGCTCATGTTGAACTGCAGATGTGATAACAGAGAAATGTTCTTCTAGATCATTGAAAAGTTAATTTATTAGGAAACATGTGTTGGCACGTTTTCAACATCATGTTTATCTCTGAATGATCTCATGCAATGAGTAGCATCATGAGGTACATGTATGTTGAATTATCAGGTAATAGCACCTGTCCAGTTTGATATTGTCTAGATTTAGATTAGTGACCATGAAAGACTGCAGGTTGACTGGACTTACATAGATACCAAACCTCACTAAAAAACACATTCACAGCCAAAAAACAAACAAACAAAAAATTAAAAGATTGATTTAACAGCATATGCCTTAGGCTTTTCTCTTTTGTAGCTAGTTTATAAATGTTATTATGTTTAATATCTGAGTATGAGTATAATGAAGAAAGGATAACAAAAGGTATTAAAACAGATCAACCTCTCCTGGCTTCCTGAAGTACTGTATAAGAGGAAAATGCCCTCGATTTGAAAGTTTTTAATTCTCAAAAGTTTTCACTTCAGCCCTTGAAACTCAAGGGATTTATTCTCTGATATATCAGTGGCTACATAGGATTAATGTACTTCTCTCAATTTTCTGCTTGACAGGATCACTTAAGTGGATGCCAATTTGTTGTTGTGAACTGTAAACACAACTGTGGCAAACAGCTACAAAGGAGAGACATCCACCAACACGTGGAAGCTGAGTGCTTGTACAGGAAAACTCCATGCGAACATTGTGAGGATCCAGTTTTATGGAACGAAGTTGAGGCAAGCCTCTAAGTTATAAAAGTGACCCAAAGAAAAAATTAACTTTTCTTGTCAAGTACTTTAATTATAATAATGAACTTCACAATGTGAAATTGAAATTTGTGGCAACAGAATGAACAACTCCACATTGTGTAGCGACAAAAAAACATCTACTTTAACTCCTCAACAGTAAAATGATGTTGGTTAAAACTAAAATAACAAACAATTACAATTAAGTTACACAGTATATGATATAAAGAAATTACCAAACAGGACAGAAAGAGGACTATAGAGCAGTTACGTAGTTACCACCACAGAAAAGACCAATATTGATACTGCAAATGCTAGGGCCAAAAAAAAGAAAAGGAAAAAGACTAGCAAAAATGGCGGTATGTTATTGAACTACGCTTAGCACAAAAAACACGAAGAGAGGCATATTGCTGATATATATATATATATATCAATAAATTATGCTAGGTGGCAATATGGTGGTGATAAGGTGCCAATGAAAACGATAAAAAGAAAAAGGTGCTAATGAAGTAGTTGCCTCCTGTTAAGAAAAGCAGGATATGCTCGAGCTGGATCAGAGCCACTTGGTTCAAGCACAGACTTATTCCTCTAAGTTGGTGATGTCAATTTTTTTTTACCTAATCATGATTTGAAGTGACTGTTCTTTTCAGAAACATTTTGAAAACTGCTCCAGGTATCCTCAGCAATGTGAAAAATGTAAAGAGGAGGGCATTAAAAGAGACAAGGTAACAATTTTATGTAGCAATTTTTTATGTAGGGAATTTTATGGATCAATTTATAATCCCCTAACTTATATTTTTCTTCATTCTTGTTACTTGTCTGCTTGATATTGAATTTAACTATTGAGTTAAAGGGTTAAGGGGTCACAGTCACTCTTTCCTGAGTCCCATTGGTTTGTTTGTATTGTCTAACACCTGTATTGAATGGTGAATTAAAGCAGAACCACTCAACTAAAACTAAGAATGATCTTTCAAGTTATTTTAAATTTGTGTTTCTCTCCCAAATGAAATTAAGTTACTGTAGTATTTTTGAGCAAGATTCTTTAAACTAAGTGGTCAGTTATGCCATAAAGTGGTGCTGTTTATTGTTTTTTATAATGGGCCTTATCTGTGGAACCTGTATTACACAGTTATCCTGACATTCCGTGTGTGTGACCACTCAATAAAGGTTTCAGTGGTATCAACACATGAAATTACAGCTTAAAATGTAGTAGAAAATGGGACTGAATCTATGGGCTGGTTATTTAAACAGAGTTAGCTGCTGGTTAAAGAAACAGCATCCCTAACAATCCTCAATTTAGCTGAATCTTTCAGCAGAATGCTTTATTGTTATGTATTTGTTAGTACTTTTTTTCTTAATTAGATGAAATTCCACTTGGAACACAATTGCCCAAAAGTGAAGATAGAATGTCCCTTTAACCTTGTTGGGTGTGCATTTGAGGTAACAAAACAGTACTTAAATAGCAGTTATTTAATATTTTGAAGTTGTACACATGTAAGTGTCACTGTAAAAGCCAAGTTCTTTTAGAAATTGCATTGACATCATTACCCAAACAGTTCAATTTAAATGCCCTTTGCACTTGCTGTTGTTGTCAGTTTTTCCTTGTAAGTTTACCTGATTACCTGAAATTCTCTCGGGAGCCTGAAAAATTATAATTCTTGAGTTCATACATAGTTAGACTAATTAAGTCTTCTCTATTTTTTTGTAGGGCTTACGATCTGATATTGGAAAACACCTTGCTAATGAGCATTTTCATGAAATCATGGATTTAATGAAAATTGTAGTGAGCTATCAAATGGAAGTCACAAGAAAAGATTCAAACCAAATAGAAGTCAAATCCAAGGGTGAAAATGAATCTCTTATTGACAGAAAAGAAAAACAGATTGAGCAGCTTGAAAGTGAGGTTGATGCCCTCAAACAAACTGTTTGTGAGCTTTCCAGCCACATGAACTGTTTAGAGCTCCAGCAAAAGAAAATGCACAGCTTGGTGCTTAAACAGGAAATCAAGTAAGTGTCCTGTTTTGTTCTCTTTTAAAAATGTTGTCAATTAACAGGTTTGTAATTCAGTTGTGTTTCTAAGTTGAGTGGAGCTAAATGTTCAAACTCTCAATCTCTTACACTCTGCATCGTATATCCCATCCTTATGCCACTTCAATCTTTGACACAGTGTTGACAGCTTTATTGGCTCTGTCAGCAGGCTTGTCAAAAAGAGCATGAGTAACCAGACTGTGATACAAAATAGGCAGCACTTAATACTTTATTTCCATCAATGTCATGCTTCCTTATTAAAAATTGAGCCACAAGCATTCAAAATAGTTGTTGCATTTGTCAGAGTGGATGGTAAAATGTGGTGGTTGCCAGCTTATTTTGTCAACCCTGTCTATGGACAGTTATGTGATGGTCACCAAAATGTGATTTATTCCTGCTGTTTCTAATAATATTAGTTATTAGATTTATGAGTGTTAAGACCTGTAAAACATAAAATAATGAGAACCAACTCTCAATAAGTGCCAGGAAATGAACTTAATTTCCCCCCCCCCCCCCAAAAAAGAAAGATTTGAACTGCTTAAATGATGATAATCTTCCTATTCCTGAAATGATAGGTTACATCAGGGAGAAGGGCATTCGTGTGATGGAATGTACCTCTGGAAGATAGAAAACATTGCCAAATGTCACCAGGATGCTGTCAGTGGAGCAAGTACAGTGATGTATAGTCCAGGTTTTTACACCAGTCCATATGGGTACAAATTGTGCTTGAGGATTAACTTAAATGGTTTGGAGAATGGAGATGGTACATATGTGGCTTTGTTTGTTCATGTGATGAGAGGTGATTTTGATGAGCACTTGGAATGGCCATTTTCAAAGGGTTTTAAGTTATCTATTAAGGATCAGTCTGATGTTGTGGAGTCCCGACCCCATATCACAAAAAAAGTGGTGGCTGAGTCTGAACTGAGTGCATTTCAGAAACCTGTGGCTCCATTCAATACAATTGGTTTTGGTTACCCAGACTTTGCACCAACTGAGATTATTAATCAACCACAGTACACCAAGAAAAATACTTTGTTGGTGAAGTTTAAGATTACTGGTTAGCCTAGTCTGGTGCCTCTGTGACTAGCCTTGGAAAATTATGAACATTTAATTTTATGAAGAAAGATTCTGCAGGAACTGCAATTCATATTGCTATCAAATAGTAGACTGTATAATTTTCTGTACAAAGTAAAAATTTGATCACTCAGAATTTAAACACTGAGCTGGTTATTGATAGGTTTTACAAAATGTTTTTGAAGTGGCAAGTCACTTTAAATAATATTTGTATGTGTGTACTGTTTTTCACTTATTTATAAAATGTACAGGAAATCACGCAGTATCTTGTTGTACATAGTGTGAAAAGTATATTGCATGTAGATAAATGTTTTACATAGAGTACCAGTATTTGTAAAATGTTAAGTGGTTACAACTGAAAAAAAGTAGTATTTGAACAAGAAATGTTGCAAAAATTGTTTAATTTTGTTGTTTATGTAAGAGTCAAAGGTTTTCCTTGCTGCCTATACTGAAGATGGTTTAATTCACTACATATATTCAAAACTATGAGCCAAGTCGTTAATTATTCCTTCAAATTATCACTACTGTTCATTGTAAATGGCCAGGCATATCAAAGAAGATTCTTTAATTATTAGCCTTGTCATGCTAGACACATATCCCAACCAGATACTTTCCCTTCTGGTAGCGAAACTGTTTAACCTGAAACACATTGTAGAGAGCAGTAAAAATAGTGTCTTTCCTTCATGAAGTGCATCACCAGTTTCCATATTTAGCGTAACCATTGCAACCTAAGGCTATATTGCATTAAAAAGAACAGTGACCAAAACAAGGGGAACAGAGGTTCATTTAGAGGGTCAGATACCAAAGTCCTTTGACAATAAAGGTCCACCTGTGACAAGCACACTGTGTTAGGGTGGTGTTCTCAGTTTACTTGTGTTCCCATTAAATTTGAAAAGATCATGAGCTTAGTAAATGGGGTATAAGCAGTAAGCATGTGATTAACCTCCACATAGATGCAAAGAAATTGACAGTTTGTGCAATAAATTACTCATGATGCTCATTTACCACAAGAAAAAGTATAACCAAAGTTCCTTTACATGCATTGTCCATACATTGTCCCAGTATGCCTGTGTTCCAAAATTTGGTTATAAAAGTTGTTAACAAAGAGGGTGAAGTGGTGAGGAATACAACCTGATAGAAAAGTAAGTTGACAGTTCATACATTGACTCTTAGAGAGTTTTTGTGGAATCTTATTTTCATGCTACTTAGTATTGTTCCTTATAATTCTCATCCAAAGCAAAAAACTAAAAACGATATTCTTAGAAATGAAAGATCATAGCTCAAAAATCTTTGTTTCTATTTATTTCTCAATGGATTTTTTTTTTCTTCACCAACTGAAAATCATATAGGTTGGCAGATAGATGTGATCATACAAGTTTGTTCTAAAGCAAAGGACATGACTTTGAGTGAGATGACTTTAGGGACTACTTGACCGGTTACCAACAGAGTAACTCAATAAGAACATGACATGACACTTTTCTGTTAGGTGGGTTGTGCATTTTGCCTTAATTTTTTTCAGGACTCAGCTCCTAGACAATAAAGGAGACTTTGTGTGCATCATGCTCATTAATTGCCTAAATGAAATTGGATGAAAACAATTTAATACATAAAAAGACCAAAGTGCATAAAATGATAGAGAGGCCTAATGTTACAGTTTATACTATGTGTGATTGCTGAAAATATCACCTTCAGTGCAAGTGAACAAATTTTTATCGAGTTCAGGCCTAAACCTAATACTGTGAATCGCTTCCATTATTTATGATCTGAAGTAAAACAACAAAGTGATTAAATTCAATTCAACTTTTCGTTATGTAGACTTGGTCGATCAGAATTGACAAAAATAATCGTGTGCTTTTCTGACAAAATGAAAGTTGTGAAATTCATTGCTGTATGTCTTTAATTTCAATCTGTCACAAAAACTTGCGGTCACATGAAATATGTTCTGATGTATTTTCGCTCCGAGGCAGAAAACTTACATGTAAAGGCTAAGTTTGCTGTCAGATGCAAGCGAGAGAAAATTCTGTTCACAAAGATCATTTTGTCACAATACAAATATTTATTGAGCAACTGTGAGGTAAAACGTGGAATTTGGCTTGAGCAGGCAAAGACAGATTTGGAGGCTAAACTTCAGAATACCCCGCAACTGACACGCCCTTTCAAATCCTGCTACCGCAGTCCCGCAGTCGACATAATTTACATACTATCCATATATAAACCTCACGAAATATACCACTTTTTGCATTGTTCACCTTGTTGGTAGCACTTAGTTTAATACTTATTCATTCACTTCGGGTCGGCGTACATGTATCAGTCCCGCAGTCGACATAATTTACATACTATATATATATAAACCTCACGAAATATACCGCTTTTTGCTTTGTTCACTCAGGGACTGCGGACCGCGGTAGCACTTAAATTATACACTTACCCCATAACTTATTCATCCACTACGGGACTGCGGACCGCGGTAGCACTTTAGTAAAACACTGCGGACCACGGTAGCACTTAGTTTAATATTTATTCATCCGCGGACCTGTAGATTTAAAGAGGGCGTGTCAGTTGCGGGGTATTCTGAAGTTGCTCCGATTTGGATTGCAGGATCTAAATTTGACAAATTTTGCAAACGGAAATTCTATAAACGCAAGATACTACCGGTACCTTGTGCTGTTTTTGTAGATTTAATATCCGTTTAAAATTATTCTGCCGAGTTAGATGGTTACCATAGCTTTGATGTTGGTCATTGGTAGGCTCCAAAATCTCGATTCAGTACTACTCGGGTAAGGTTGGCTTGCTCGAGGCCTGGACTCGTGTAGATTTAGTTGTAAACACGCATCGTTAGACGGTGATGCAATACAGACATCTCAAGAGCTAGCGTCGGAGTTGTGTGTTGATCGGGCAGTGTAATGGCTTTTTCCATCGTTGGGGAGGAGAATCTCTCTCTGTTGCCACTAAATGCTCCATTTGGACATGTTCCTAATGAGCTTGAATTAACACCTCGCTGGGAACGCGTGGAAGGGTTAGAAGGTTATAATGAAGATTTTGATCCGCCATTAGAAAACAAGCTTAAGTGTTCCATTTGTCGTAAAGGGCTTCGAGAACCAGTGCAGACGGAGTGTGGTCACAGATTCTGTAGGAAATGTCTTGAAGGCTTTATGAGGTAATTCAGCAGGAACCGTATACAAAACATAGATGTACAGATCAAAACCTTAGTAAAGTTTATTGTCTTTAGGTCAAACCCTGAACTTGATGATTAAGTCAATGATCGATAAGTGTAATGAATCGAGTTTCCAAAATTTGTCGAGCAGTCTATTCGGACTCTCTTTTGAGTTAAACGGTTCGAACTGAATGAACAATTGGTAAAATTTCCGCACAACTCCATCCTACATATGCATTCAGTTCTTGAACAGAGAAAACAATGACAAAAACAATACATTGCCATTGGGAAAACAGATTTGTTTTACAATATTATGGGGCTGCACTGAAACTTTACCCAAACAATAACAAAAGGTTGTTATTTCGGAAGTACTCTTCCTGAGAATCTGACGTTTATACATTAATTACTAAATAAATACGGTTGACCTGGGTGTGTTTTGGATATTTTGATATGTTTTGTTCCTCTAGCCTTAATTGTAACTGTAACGATAGCTAAACAGGCGGTCAGGTACCAAAACATCAATTTATATTTAACCCAAGAGCAGAGCTACAATTTACTATGCTAACAACATGGCCGACACACGAGGAAGCTGTGCCCAAGATGCCATGCGGCCGCATGAAGCTCAATGCTTCATGTAAGCGTACTCGTTACAGTAACATTTGGTTTTTATCAAAAAGAGGAGTACGTCCTTATTGAATATAAATAGTCTCTGAATCTATCACTTCAACTGCAAAATACCATGTTCCTTATTCTTACAACAATAGTGATGATTGAAGAAAGAAATGCAATCCCACAGAGAGCGAAAAATTGGCGTGAAATACTGATTTCTTTAATTTTAAGCTTCTGCTTCATCTATGAGTTCTTAACACAGAGAGTCAGAGAGTTTTACAGTCATTTGTCAGGATATTTCTCTTTTACTAGTGGGCTAACCTTCCAGTTGTGTAAATTATGTGTCTTTTGGAGCTAGCTGACTATTACTAATACTACTAGGGTATGGTTTATTGTAGTTCGCATTATTCTTAAAAGAACATACCTTCAGCCAGGAATGCATGCTTCTTTCAGGTGTTCAATGCAGCTGAATTGTGAATTGTAGATTCAGCTGTGACCAAATATTTACAGATCATGGAATATAATGATGATTTTTTAACAATTGAAAGGGGAAAAAAAGGATATAAAGTAGTTTTAAAAGTTTTAAAAATTTTTACTCTAATTATTTGTTTCAAACCATAAGATATGTTTAATTACATAATGTTCTATTCTTTATTAATTTTGTAGAGGTAGTGCTGGTGCTTCACATTGCCCGGAGGATGGAGAACTGCTTTCACAGTCAAAGGTATTAAAGAACTTACAATGAATGTTAACACTAAAATTGAAAATATATATATATCCAAAAAGAGGGCATACTATGTAATTTTCCTTGACTCTTACTGTTTGGGTCACTAGAGATGACTAGATTTCATTTTAAGATAAATTGTATAATGTTCATTTCTAACAAAGGAGGCCTATTTAACCAATATTGTAAGGTGTGAGAGAAACTTAAAATCGATACTATACCATTTTGAGTTAATTTAATTTATTCTTCATCCTTAAACTTCAGATCTATTCAGACAATTTTGCAAAGCGGGAAATATTGAAATTGGAAGTTTTCTGTAAAGCGAGAGGTTCTGGATGTCCTTGGAAAGGTTCTCTTTCACTGTTAGAGGTAAGAAATTAGCCCATGCCCATGAGATTATGTAAAATGTATGTTTTACTTGCCATGGCTGTTTCTTAGGATTGCACTTTTTAAGAAACCACATCTCGAAAAGTACAATTCAGTGAGAGACAATTTAACTGTATAGTGCCCACATTTATCAGTGCACAGTCTCATGAGACAAATTGAACATACCACATGGAACAAATTCAGTCAGCCATCAGCCAATAATTCATGTTTCTTTCATTAGTTATAGGTAAGAGAAAGTTTTAAGCAGCTGCTGTCAGATATAAAAATTATTGGTATGAATTTAATATCAGCTCATAGATCAATCTTATCTGCTACTCAAAGCATGCAAGAGCTGAAGCATGCAGTCTTAATTTAAGACATTGCATTCTGAAGGTGTTCTGTCAGTCTGTAGACAACAAGGGTAATATACTTTATTACAGTACATAGCTGCCAGGAAGGTGAATTTTTTAAAATTGATATCTTACAAACCAAGTGCAAGGGCCATGCTAGAGAATATTGGCCCAAGGTCATGGCAGTACAGACCAATTGCAGCAAGGTCTGTACAAAAACAACTGCATATTAATATTCCTTGGTATGGCTTGAGCAAGCAAGGTTTGGTACACTACGTGATTCATTATATGGCACTAATTATAATGCACCAAACTTGTTTGTTTTGAATTTGCAAGCTACACATGTATGCTTCTGACCATTACTTTGGAAACAGTCCATATTGCAAAGTCTTGTCCAAGTAAGAACCAATCAGAATGCTTGGATTTACCTCAGGACTTAACTTTACCATATAATAAAATAATTTAATTTCCTTCATGATAGGATCATTCCAAAATATGCCTCCATATTTGTGTTGAATGTGAGAATAACTGTGGGGTGCAGCTAAAAAGGAAAAATCTCCACCATCACATGGAAAGTGAATGTGTGCTCAGAAAGTCTCTCTGTGAGCACTGTGGCAGTGCAGTTTCATGGTGTGAATTGGAGGTAAGCCTCTTTGTAACAGTAATTTTTGCATCTATTGTAGTATAGACATGCAGCCATTTTTTCATATTCCCCTTTATTTGAATGAAATGCATTATTTTATATTTCCCAAGAACCCTTTTAACCTCCCAAGTGACTACCAAGGAACAGATGATCTCCTTACAATATCAAAACAGTGTCTTCTATATTAAGCTAGTAATTTCATGACAAGAATAGAATAATCAGTCAGTTTGAATGCCCAGGCTTATGATCTTGATAAAACACCAAATTCCTCTAGCTAACTGAAAAGCAAATGTACAGAAACTGAAAGAGAGAATTATAAAGATTCAGATCAGGTGTAAGATTTTATCAAAGGGTCAAGATAATGTCTGTCATGACAACTCGGTTGATGTACTAGTAGAGTAGATTTATGACTCAGTAAGGGAAATTATCCTATAATTGAGGGTTACTTCAGACATTGCAAATTCAAGTTTATTGGGTCTTAATGACACGAACTTGTATTTTTTTTTAAAATGTTAGCATCTTTGAAAAATACATGTGTCATTGTGGAAAAGACAAGTTTATAGAAAAATAAATTAACACATTAACTCTTTAACTCCTAGATTAAATTTGTAATTCTCTTTTCTGTCAACCATACAATTCTTATTGTGTTAGTTTAGAGAATTTAGTATCGAATCAACCAATTATCCCCCAATTGATATGCTTCTTAATTCTCATCACTCATCTGGTTGATATTGTATTGATATTGTAAGGAGAAATTCTGTCTTGGTCACTCATGGGAGTGAAAGGGTTAAGATGTTGTATTTTATATCCTAGCTAGAAGTGAACATTGTGACCTTAGGGTGAAAAAGAGTTTATGGTTTCCAAAACCTTCATAGATTGGAGAAGAAAATGTTTTTCCCCTTGTGTCTGCACAGGTTGATTAATACCTGATCAACCTGGTACTATGGCATTCAGTCATTTTACTGTTTTGCCTTTTATTAAGTACTGGATTCCTGAAGAGGAAAATCAAAATATCTTGTAATTTTGTACAATTCTGCATTTACATCTTTCTGTCAAGATAAAGTTAGTGGTGGTTTCATGGTTAATAAACTTACATGGACTGTTCCTTTCTTTCAGAAACACTTTGGAAGCTGCCCTAAGTATCCTCAGCAATGCGATAAATGTAAACAAGAAGGCATAGAGAGAGACAAGGTAATGAAGATATAGCTATAATCAAGTAATAAATTTACATTCAGAAGTGAAGACATCTTTAACAGATCAACATGGTTGGTGTGACATGCAGTGGCCAAGCTATTGTTTAGTGAGCCAATAACAAAGTTCAGCTTTGAGCGCTGAAAAGAGGCATGTCCTTGACCAAGACACCTAAATTACTCTCACGATGCCACTGCTTACACACTACACAAGATACTTGTCTACTAAGAATTTTCAGTTAATAGTATAAATTAGATAACTTTTTATATGTTTTATTGCAATTAACAATAAGTATGATAGATGTATAAATTGGTAAGACAGTTTTCATTAACAATAAGTTGTAATTACTGTATGTTTTAAGTGATTGAGTTAATTATTATGAATAGCTGTTTGAAAGTGAGCCAATGAACAATAATTGAATTAAGCAACCATACATGTGTAGTTTCTGAGAAAATAAACATCATAAATTTTTTGGTTTTTTGCGTTTTCTTTCATTTTTTATTCATTTATTCATTTATTTATTTTCAAAATTAGATGAAGTTACACTTACAACACCATTGTCCAAATGTAAAGACAGACTGCCCCTTCAAAGATGGTGGATGTGAATTTGAGGTAAGGAAAGTGACAAATCTCAAATATGAACCATGTACTGCATATATTTGACAAAGCTAGCTCAACAAGTTTTGATACTGTATAAAAGGACAATCCCTGAATCCTTAACTCCCACGAGTGACCAAGACAGAATTTCTCCTTACATATATCAATACAATATTAACCAGATAAATGATGAGAATAAAGAAAAATAGCAATTTGGGGATAATAAGTTGATCCAATACTAAGTTCTCTGAACTAACATTATAAGAAATGTATGTTTGGCGGTAAGGAGAATTACAAGTTTGATGTGGGTTAAGATTAATTAACATTTAAAAAATAAAACTCATGTGTAGTGGCCAACATTAAAAGTAGTAGTTTCAAAATTATTTCTTTACATGTACCCAAAGTGTGGGTTATAAGAATGGCATGCAGCTAGTCCATTCCATTTGCTTTCTAAGACTTAATTCACCTGACTGAAGTTTATGATCTTTTTAATATTAATATAATAATAGCTTCATGAAGTAATATTTATGATCTTATATTTATTATTCTTAATATTACATTGACCCTATTTTAGGTTATTGATGAAAACAGTCAAATCATTTTCAAGACACTGATAAAAGACATGACTGTGTTAACTTTATAATAAGCTTTTCATTAATAAATTATTTTGTTCCTAATTGAGCTGTACCATCACCTCAGGTGGCCTGAAATTTGAATTTTTTGGTTCAATACCTAGATAATAACTAACGCTTCCCAATTGTTTTTTCAGGGCTTTCGATCTGGTGCAGGGAAACACCTTGTGGAACAACATCTGAGTCAAATCACCGATTTGATGAAAATTTTTCTCATATATCATGAGGAGGTCATGCAGACAAATGCTGTAAAGGGGACAGAGGTAAAATTGGAGGATGAAAATAAGTTTCCTTCTGAAAAACAGGCAATTTGGACCCAATGGCTGGAAAGTGAAGCTGGTGACCTTCAGAAAACCCTTCATAAGCAGCGCAAGGAAATTGACTGTTTAATCCTTCAGCAGAAGGAAACAGTTGACAGGGTAGATGAACTGGAAGTTGAGTAAGTGTCTACAGTTTTCCTTTCTTTAAAATTTGTTAAGGAAATATTTTTTTCCAATTTCTTGTATCAGTTTTAAGTTTTAAATTAAATTTTAATTTTTGAAAATAAGGTTGTTATAAATATTGTTCGTAATGTCTCATTGTGCTAGATGTTGGCAATCCATAACTCTCAGATTCTAAACAGTACATCTTTAATCTCAAAGTGAGCTTGTCAACCCCTGACAGATGGAATGCATGTTTACATGAAGCCTTTTTTTACCAAGTGGGTTGATCTATATCCCATTGTCATTATTCATTATACCTTGTAAACTGTTACTAGACAAGTTTGGATACCCTTGAAACACAAAATGTTACATTAATTTATCTAATCCATAAACTTAAGTCATGTGGTTGTATATGGGAATTTGCATGATTATAATAAAAGGCAATTAACAAGTTTCTTTATTGGCCCGTCCACGACAAACTGTTACTATCTAAAGTATTTAAATCAAATACAGTTGACACTTTCCTGATAATTTGAACCAACCATTGCAAGCCCAAGTTAACCTAATTGTGCTCAAGCTCAATTTGTTCTCCTCTAGGCAACTTAATCATGGACCCTTGACAACTCAAACCCTGTTATGCCAACTCAATGTAGGCCTCATTTCCCTTTATGATAGTTTCCATGTAATTTTACCTTCACCTGATAACTTATAACATGCATGTTTTTGATACATTTGTGATCAGTAAAAAAAAACTATTGTAAACCAAAATTCTGATCAGGATAATTTTTAATCAGTGCATTGTGACCTTTGTCTACTTTTTTGTTTGCTTTGACCCTCTCACTCCCAAGGTCCACTTGACATTTCTCCCAACTTACTGCCATACTTTTCCCTGTAAATTAGACATGAGAATATGAACTTATTCCAAAATGAAGCCCTTCAGCTGATAAGATTGTTTGCCCTCATAACCTGTTTACAAAATAACTGATTGGAATTGTAAGGAGAAGTTGCATTTAAATCACTTCTGAGAGTTAAAGGGTTAAATGTTCAATTAAATGAGTCAGTCTTGTCAAGTGCTGCTGGATCAGGATACATTTGTAACTAAAGTTTATTGCATTTCATCTTATTCATGTTGTGTTCAAATTAGCTAAGAATTCTGAATGTGCATTGTAGTACAAAGGGTGAATTGATATGCTAAATTCTTTTGGTCCAGTCATTTGGATTTAGCTTCCAAGAACTATAGCTCTTGATCATGATGACTTGAAGTTTTTTCAATTCCTTTTAAGGTTCTAGTCACTTATTGCAACTGCGGTGCATGTACATGGAAAAGTAAATTTAAAAGCTCAAATTGAGGGTCTTTATGTATACATTTTTCTTTATTCCTGAAATTACAGGGTGAAGTTGCTACGTCAAGAACCGCAACTTTGTGATGGAAAGTATGTCTGGAAGATAGAAAACATTGACAGGTGTTGCCAAGATGCCATCAGTGGTGTAAGCCCAGTCATGTACAGTCCAGGTTTTTATGCCGGTCCACGTGGGTACAAATTGTGCTTGAGGATTAATTTAAATGGTGTGAAGAGTGGAGTTGGTACACATGTGGCTCTTTATGTTCATATGATGAGAGGTGATTATGACAACCACTTGGAATGGCCATTTTCAAAAGGTTTCTCCTTATCTATTGTGGATCAGTCAGATGACGAGTCTCTCCAGTACCACATTACAGAAACTGTGATAACCAAACCTGAACTGAGTGCCTTTCAAAGACCAGTACCTCCACACAGTGTAATAAGTTCTGAGTATTCTGGTTACGAACATTTTGCACCAATTGATGAGGTCCACAAGCTACAGTATTGTAAGAATGATACTTTGTTAGTGAAATTTGAGCTCACTGATTAATCCAGTGCTGTTGAGCAGCTTGCAGCTCTCATTGCACACTCTATCTTATCTCAAGACTAAAAAGAACTGAACTGACTGTTTTTCTTCACAGCATACCGGATATATATTTATTTAAAAAATTACATTTATTTGATACATTTTAATTATATACAGCAGTCAGACCAGAGAATTTGTTTCTCTTTGGTGTTTTTTATCAGGAACAAAAGGACACAAACTCTCCTTTGCACCAACTTTTTTAACTGTAGGTCTCTAAGAGTTAGTGAGTTTATTGAGAGTGTTCTGGCTTTTCAGCTCTATAAATATAGCAAGTGTTAAACTTATATTAAGTATATTCAGAAACTGAAAAGATCTGTTTTTATAAATAATTAACTTAAGGTGAAAAGAGCTGCCATTAAATAGTAGATTATTAATTAACTGTGGATTTTATCAGACTTAGGTAAAACTTAAGCTGGCTTATCCAATAGTTAGTATACACACTGAAGGCTCAAAAATTAAGAAATAGCTGTGACTGTATATATTTGTTTTAAAGAACTGATAAATGTGGGTGAAACTGGGGAGCATGCAGCTTGAAGGGTTCTTAGAACACTTTATAGAGAAGATGTACAGCTATGCAAGTACACATTAAAATGGTGAAGTACATATTTAAATGGCGATGTGTTTTAACAGAAGATTCTTTATTAATCTGGTTACACAATATACCCACACTGGTATTTTATGTTCAGGTCATTCAAATGTCTCACAGGTGACCTGCTGAACTCTGCTGTAGAGTGAGTCTTCTCATGAAGGGCGTAACTTAGTTCTTGGTCGACTGTAACTATGGCCACCTGAGCCTCTAAATCTTGATACACCGAACCATGTCCAAAATTTGGAGAACCAATTGGTTAAGCTGGGCACAGGCTCATTTGGAGGGTAGTGCCAAAGTCCTTTCATGTGAAATGTCCACTTATGACGTACATGCTCTAACACTGAGATGTTATCAGTTGTGTTCCAGGATTTGCTTGTAAAAATCATGAGCTAATAGGGTGTAAGCGTGAGGAATACCACCTGATAGAAAAGTAAGTTGTCAGTTAGTATGTTGACTGCTTGCAATTTTATGGCAGAAGATTACAGAAAATTTTGAAATTGCTGAGAACCTTGTGAACAATTTTTTCCTGTTTGGGCATTTTTTTTTTAAAGTATACCAAACCACCATGATTGACCAAGATCTTAATACCTATTTGAACCAGTCAGGCCTGAAACTTGAAAGGATTAATTCACCTATTTTTTCCATTTTGTCTATCTTAGTTTACCATAACTCTGTAAGTCAACAAGCATACTCAAAATCTAGAGCTAAAGTTAACTCTAGGAAATGAATAAATTACTTCAACAATGGCTGTTACACAGTACAACTTAATTAGTAATTAATTATTAACTATAACAAATTTTCAAGCACAATTGACTATCACCAGCCCAATTTGAGCACTTACAGGACAGTGTATACCTCATGTTTGTAACTGGACAGAGTTATGGAACAGGTCATATGTCATGCCTTTAATACAGTTTGCACCCTTTTTCAGAAACAAATTTCAAGGAATTTTCCAGGATTCAGATTTTAAGTTTTTCAGGCTGTTCGTGCCTTGACAGTGTCACAGTTATCATTTCCCAACCAAAGAATAGTGATCAACATTGTAATTCAACCACTATAAGCTGGCTGCCATCAGTATAATCCATAATTATCATCCACTAACCATTTTGTTTGCTGTGCACTCCATCCTCTGGCCTGTCTAGGAAACAGGGTGATGTGTTTCTGTGTCAACATACCTCACAACTATGTCTCATAATTCATGAAAAATTAATGGAATACATTTCCAAGGCAATTTTCATATATTTTCATCTAGTATCTTGACATATAGGCATTAGTGAGTCCTCTAAAAATAACCCATCCTCTATTTCTAGAAGCCGGGGTGCTGTCTCCGAGAAATGTTCTGTTTAAGTGCCGGGTGTCAGCGGAAATGTTCGAGTTGACTTGTTTCGGTTTTAGAAAAATAAATAACAGCTTGGAAAGGACAGTGAAGGCATACAATAGCCTCTGCAGCTTGACTGTTGTTTTCTCTTTCCTTTAATAAGAATGTTATGATATTTACCCTAGTAGTTAACAGACTAAAAACAGCCTAATAAGTTTGCAATACTGTGTTCAAACTGGATGAGAAGTTGGAGAGCTAACTGATCAAATGATCAACAGAAATCTTGATTCTGGCCCACAAACAGCATTGTAATAGATAATAAAATAAAAGCAATCAAGGGCCTTTGGTCGGAAACAGTAAATTAAACGCTGTATAAAAATACAATATTAAAGCAGAGGCAAACACAAATATTGATTTCATGCTTACAATGTGACTTGCACTTTGTACGAAGTACTGTATTCAAATCCCTTCCACTTGAGTGTGTGGAGTAGATTTGCCGCCAAAGGAGACTTACTAGCTGCCAAATCAATAATTTTCATTTTTACAGTACATTTCAAACTTCCCATTCTGAAACAAAGAGAGAAAAGGAAAAGAAGGCTGACCCTCACAATCCACTAGACAAATGTGTCGCAATGTCGTTGCAGGGTTAAAGAACAAGGATCGATTATTGGCAACTCATTGATTGGGGTTTCCCCTTGATACGAATTTGCAAAAATTCTATGTATCAGTGAGCCAATGTGGAATCACTCCATAGGTATGTTTTCTTGCTCTGCAGTCTTGTTCATGTGACCAGTAGGATCTTGAATTACTCAGAAAACACTACCAGCCAGAGAGCAGCTAATCTATGTGAAGTAAGCTTGAAGTCATTGACATCATTGTGTTTTAAATGAATTTCAAGTAAATAAATTTTAAACTTGTCTGATTTTTATTTTCTTTGGTTGTGGATTTATTTCTATACAATTCAGACTAGTTTTAGATGAATTTGACTTAAAATTCATTTTAGACTTGAACATGTCAACCAGATTGACTAAAGTTTGCTTTGTAATACCCCGGTACTCTGCATAAGTAGTTTCTCAGAAAGGAACAGTCTCAATTTTCATGATATTTTAGTTTGATTGGAAGTATTGTTGACAAGGCCAACCACTGTCTGAAATACTAAAATCAAGTCATCTTTAGGTAGTCCTAGGATAATTAGTCATATCATACAATTAAATAAATGAAATTAACCTGTGCCTGTGTTATTTATTGTATCTTTTAATAAAAATTGCTATGATTGAAAAGAAATCAAACCTCTCTTTATTGAACACCAACCAGAAATCCTTTGCTTATTGCCTAATAATGTCTGCTTTTGTTTCAGCTGATTTGCCATAAAGAGTCATTTGATTCTCATAGCTTGTGTGCTGACTATCAAATAAGCAGTGGTAGGTACACGATCAAGGAACAAGAAGATGTTCTTGAAAAAAGTGATTTCAGCGTAGTGTAAGACTAAAATGGAATGCCAAAAAGTAAATTGCAAAGCAGACTGTAATAAAAATTGGGCAAACTTGATTTAATATCCAAGTACTTCGGGTATTTTCTAAGCCCCCTAAGGTTCTACCAGTTAGAGATTTGCACTAAATAAGGAAGAACAAAATGTTAAGGTATTCATGAAAAAAGTGATTCCAAAGAGTGTAAGACTAATTTAGAGTGCAGAAAGTGTAAAATGTGGAGCAAACCGCACTAAAAATTTGGGCAAAGTTGACCAAATATGCAAGCTTTACCTCTAGCCGGTAGTCTTTCCAAAGCCTCCTGTTATCCTATTAGCTAGAGGTGTAAGACCAAGTAAAAGAAAATAAATGGAAACGTATTCTTTAAAAAAGTGATTTAAAGGAGTGTAAGACAAATTTGAAGTACAGAAAAGTAAAATGTGACGCAAACCATAGTGAAGATTGGGCAAAGTCAACTAGTATGTAAGCTGTACTTCTAGCTGATAGCATTTGAGATCCTAACAGCTAGAGGTATAAGACAAAATAAAAAAAATAAATGTAAATGTGCTCTTGTAAAAAGTGATTCCGTGGAGTATAACACTAAGTTGGAATGCAGGAAAGTCAAATGTGGAGCAAACCATGGTAAAATAGGCCATTTTACAGTTGTGTACTTAGTTGCCAAGCCTTTGATTTGGAGTGAGGCTGAAGGTGACCTTGTTGTGTTAGAGACCAGAATCTAGTTAGCATGATAGCAAATTAATTTGCATTTCAAAAGCAGTAAGGTTTGTATCATACCAAGGTCACCCTTAGCCTCACTCCTGTTCAAAGGCTTGGCAACCAAGCACACAACTGTAAAATGGACTATTGGGGCAAAGTCGACGGCTGTGACTTAGGACTGGGACGTGGGACTCGGGTCGTGGGACTCGCGTCGTGGGACTCGCGTCGTGGGACTCGCGTCGTGGGACTTGGGGACGTGGAACTCGGGGACGTGGGACTCGGGGACGTGGGACTCGGGGACGTGGGACTCGGGGACGTGGGACTCGGGGACGTGGGACTCGGGGACGTGGGACTCGGGGACGTGGGACTCGGGGACGTGGGACTCGGGGACACGCGGGGACTCGGGGACGTGATAAACAAACAACACCTAACATTTGCGCTGAATTTGTAGAGTATAATTTTCGGTGGTCTCGAGAAAGCTATTTTATGCTGGAGAGCTTGTTAGTAGTAGCCGATGGTTTTCAGCGTCCATGGTTTGGCCGGACATTTTTGCTTGCTTATTTGCCCGTGAGAACTCTGGGTACAGATTAGTTTCAATGCAGGGGGTCTTGAAACATCCGTGCCTTATCCTTGTTAAAAACTAGACCCTGTGAGCAGGGTAACTGGGATACCTGGATGGTACTGGATCCTTGGGATCAATTGTAGTGATACTACGGGTGTGGGACTAGTATACTGAAATAGAGAACTCAAGTCTGGCAAGGGCATACATCTATTTCAAAAAAGGTTCTCATCAGGCGATAGGTGATTCCAAGACGGAAAGGAATCATGGGTATACAACTCAGTAAATAGTTCTTGCTGAGTGTTAAACATTTGTTTTTTTAACTGGATAACAGTTTTTCTGTATAGTATTCTGTTACAAACAGATCAAATATAATGTGGACCTTCCTTAATCTTACTTTGAAAAGCTGTGCCATTAGGACTGAATCTTATAATATAGTACTTAACACTTTTTGCTTTTGTTTTCACATTATTGTGCTGAAAAATACAGCTGAAGCAATAATTTGAAATCCACATTAAAAACCCATTATTATCCTTAGTATTATCTGTGATTAACTTCTGAAGCAATAATTTGCTACCAAGAGATGTACATCATAGTATTCCTTGTTTCTCCAAATTAAAGGCAATATTAATATCTGCATCATATATTTGAAGTGTACTTGGGAAATTGTTGATAGTGAGTGGATTGTTATTGCCATTGAGTTTTTCTTTGTAAAACTTGTTTGCATGCATGGTCAGTGATTCTATCTAGAGTCTATGAATTACCATCACCATTACAGTTAAAACCTACTGTAGTACTAAGGATTGTGAAAAGAAAGGAATTATAATTTTGTCGCAGCAAAGCCTGCATAGCATTAGCAAATGACATACAATAATGAAATCTTGTACTTCACAAGTACCATGTATAGTACTAGTATAGCTTGGACTATATTGAAGCTGATAATTAATACTAAACACTATTATCATTTCAGGTACTTCTGTTAACAGTTAATAGGATTGCTTGGATAGACTAGATAGACCAGAATACAATTCATTATCAATGTTCATGATATTAATTAAGTCCACTGAGAATACAATACCATTCCTCTTGTTATATACGAGGGAAAGCAAGTGACATGGCTACGCACTGCGTACCAGCATTTAACCCAAACATTGCCACATTGTCTTGAATGTAAGGAGCTTGAATTGTTTTAGTAGAATTTATAGCAGGACCAGGGTTTGTTTCTATATCCCCAGAAAGGTTAGCCTTAAAATGATTTACCCTGTGATTCAGATTTTTATAAACATTTGGTACTGAATTAGACCTCCATGCATTCAACTGCTTTGGCTTTGGACTGTTTATTACATGTGGATATTTGTTTTACATTTTCAGTATCCTGTATTTGCTAGACTTTCGATATTTTCTCCAGACTGCAGAAGAGGGATATTTCGTTGTCCCTTTATACTCACATCTGATTCCATGTGCATATATTTTTTCACGAGCCTTATTTGTAAAAAGATGCATTCGGGAAGACTTCGGTGTTTTTTTCGATGTAGGTTCGAAGTAAACGTCTTTTTTTATTTTATAAGAGATTTATAAAAATCTCGTGGTTCGTCATGTGACCCGGCCCTGTCCGTGCATGATAACGTCAATTATCATCAAGATAACACACGTGATCAGTATGTGACCACCTTCACCCTCGTTGGATCACAGTTAGCTGTCATGGTGTTGAGGGCCCAATGACCATTGGATAATATTGCGCAATTTTTCCATTTTGAGGCGGAGGAAAAAAAAAAGACGACAAAAAACAAAGGCATTTTATGACTGGGCTACCACAGGTATCCCAGTAAAGAATAAGGAAGAAAACACAGTTACTTATCAGGAAAGTCCTCCATGGCTGCTCACGATGTTTAAAACCCCCTGTGTTGAAACTATTCTGTACTCAGAGTTCTCACGGTCAAACAGGCAAGAAAACATATCCGGCCGAACCATGGACGCTGGAAATCATCGGCTACTACTGACAAGCTCGGGTGACGCTATATCGGAGGCGTTCGTCGAGGGTCGAACACACAAGTTTATATTACAGCGATTTAATTCAAAATAGGTTATGTAAGCTTCAGTACTTGTTCCCACGAAAAGTTCAAACCTGAGATGTACAAGATCGTCCTGAACAAAGGAGCCTTGAGGTCCTGCAGCAGTTTCTTGATTTTGTTTTGAGTATTTTGTGGTTGTCATAAAATAACTATTGTAATATATTTCTTTTGAACAATTTTCACGGGATTTTTATCCGTGAAAATTGTACAAACATTTTTATAACGGACACATAAAATAGCATGGCACCGTTACTATTTTCTTACAGTATCAATCATTAGAAGAAGAAATATTACTTAATGCGTGATCGTGTAGTTTATAGCGATTCCCGAAATCTTAGATTCATGAAAACAAGCCATCAAACTACACTTCTCTGTTTTTGTTTAGTCACATGTGGGTCACAGATAAAGATATACAAAAACAGATAAAAATTTTTTCAGTATGTTTGAGCTATTTACTAGGTTATCAATGCGCCAATAAGCCTAACAGTAACGTTTGAATTTTAGACGGTAACTTCGTCTCTTAAAAAGTAAATTATGAGAAAGATTCTCCTTGCAGCGTTGAGGCCGTTGAGAGACGGGTTAATGTTTTTTACTTACGTAATACGAAAAATTGAAATGTCAAATGATTCGTGAAATAACGAACGGAAATTTCAGGAATTGTATACACCCTACGTTTATGGGGAATTCTGAAGTAAATGGATGTAAATGACCTTCCCGATTTTGTTTCCTCAGTATGCGAAAAGTTCGATGGATTCCTCCACTAAAATACCTAAAAAATTAAAACAGTTTCGCGGGTTATGCAAAAATCGAATGCTACTGGTACGTTTTATTATATTTCAAACTCTGTTTTCAAAAGGAATTCTCATCTTTGTTGGTGTGTGGAGACAATGCCGAATTTCATTGCTTAGATGGTAAATGGTTTGCCGAAAAATTGGATCGGTATACATTACCACCATTGTGTTCAAAGACGGGAGGCGCTGCAAATGCATAATATGAAAAAGTATTTCGGCGTATTAGATTATGCACTTAGAGTGTTTTCCAAGTGCTTTCCTTTATATGAAATCCCTTTAAATATTTCAACACTTTTCCGCCCAGTGCATTGCGTAAGTTTTTACAAAATTGCCTCTCTACGAGGCCCACACCGTATTGATAAAAGCAAAAATTCAGTTAAAAATAAAAGAAACTGCCCACCATTTTTCGAAAACCTCTTCTGATTTAAGTCCTTTGAGTGCAAGGCCTTCTTTACAAAGCATGTGTAACTACTAAGAAAACTCTCGAGCATATCCTCGAACTCATCTCTTTTTCCATCGAAATAACCCACGAAGTACCGGTTTTCGACAGAACAATTTTCAAGGTTTTCCTCAAGGAAGTCAATCTCCGATTTGTTTAAAGAAGATTGATTGGTCGCCGCCATCATTACGCATTCTAGTGTCTTATTCATCCTTTCACGGGCTTTCGCAATATTCGCAGGTTTCATAATTTCCCCGCCGACCAAAATTACCGTGTACTCTTACCTTCGACGAACGCCTTCGATGTAGAGTCACCCGACGAGCTCTCCAGCATATTACACCTTTCTCGAGACCACCGAAAATTATACTTAACAAATTCAGGTGTTGTTTGTTTATCACGTCCCCGAGTCCCCGCGCGTCCCCGAGTCCCCGCGTCCCACTTCCCCGAGCCCCCGATTCCCAGTCCCACGTCCCAGTCCCACGTCCCAGTCCCACGTCCCCAGCCAAAGTCGACAAAATATGCAAGCTTTGCAAGCTGTACCTTTAGCCGGTAGTATTTGGAGCGTTAGCCCAATCACTCTGACGAAGGTCTAAAGTAAACGTCATGATTCACATTTTAACTCTTAACGGTGGCCAACGTTTTCAACTCAGTTGTCAACACATTTAGGGCAGTCTTACACCAAGTACTACCCCTAAATTACCTGCTGTCCCGACCGGAATACAATTGCGCAGTTGTTGTTGCCCGCGCGCCGAATACAACAGCGCATGAGTGTTTAAGGGAATTTATAAAAACTTGATCAGATACATCACTATGCGCAGAACAATGAAATAACAACTTCCTTGATAAACAATCAAATATATGATAAAAGAGAGATGTCAATTTTGAGCGAAGAAACGCTTCTTGAAAGTGGTAAGTAAACAAAGGTACATGTTAATGTAGATCCTAGTTACCCGCGGGTATTTACGTCTGACAGCACTGGCGGTTGTGCCCGTTCTTTAGGAGACATTTATGTATTGCTATCCTTCATCTCCGAAGCATTTTCATCGATAAACAAGTTGAAACGTGTACATTTCCTTGTAATGGCCTTTATAATTATCAAACCCTGTTTGTGTCTGCGTCGATTTGAAACACTGTTTTGCAAGCTGAAATTGGGATCTTTTAAGTTGTACTCAAAATGATTATTATTGTCCTACTGACCTTTGAATGTACTTTCACTGCAGTGAAAACCGTGACACAAATTTTTCTTCTGTTTCTCTGCAGGGTTTCTCAAAGGAAGCACCAAGTGGGCTGGCATGGATTCCCTTTTAGAACATAACGGTTGATTATGGGATCCTTTATAGAATTCTTTATGATGAATCAACAAAATTCCAGGTCACGTTATTACACACCGATATCAACGAATTCTCTTTCTTTGATACGTGTTTCGAATTCAGGCAAAGGTTCAGACAGGTCAGTATCTTCTATGGGCTCAGCGCTGGCTCCCGAACAACTGGCTTCCCTATAATCTTTCATTATATGAGAAAATAGTTTTCAGAGAACCAATTAAGCTATTGTTGTTTAATTAACGAAAGGTTTCCATGTAAATCGATTTTGTACTTTCTCTGTTGACCTCTAACTTTTGAAGAACTCAACTTCTTTCTCAGTTCGGTCGGCCACTTCCGAATCCTCGTCATCTGCCAACTGTATGGGTCGTTTTTATACTTCCGAATAATTTGCTTCTAGTAGGGCCTGAATCATGGGTACAGCACCAGGAAGAAAAATAGGTCCGCAATGCGAATGTGTGCCTAGGGAAAGAGATAGCGGGTAGGGAGTGGACATAACGTGACAAATTCTATGTGTTCATGGCCACCATTAATGAATGGGAAAATTCGAAGTTATGTATTAGTGTCAACCTTTGACAACCTAGAAATCAGTCTAACATGCACTTTATTTATTGAGTCATTTTGAGAGACTCTTGTGCTTCTTTGGTGTTTTGCTTGTCTTCTAAGGCCGTTTCCATCTCCTTACCGTGAGGTTTGTTTGGAATGAGCATGTTTGTATTTGTAAAGCTATTCTAACAATTATTATGGGGGAAGTGGTAACTTATTTATTTTTGGGGGGGTGTTTGAAGTGGTGAACTCAGTGTAATACTGGTTGATTCCCAGCCTCATCCCAGCCTCATCCCAGCCTCATCCCCAGCCCGAGGCCAGTAGATTCCATTTGCAACAAAATTTGCTTGAATGGAGTAGACTGTTCCACAACGTTGTATTTTTCTTTATTGGAAAATAACAATTGTAATACATGTATAATGCTTATGATTATTTGTGAAAATTAGATGGAGAAGGAATAATGCATTAACATGAGGCTTGAATGTAACCATAATAAAATAACAGGATAGGGAACGAAACCAAACAAGATGGAATGTTGCTGATTTAATATGTTGCTATGGGCGTCTATTGTGGCAAGAACTAAACATTACATGGCCAGTAAGGTACTTGTATAGTACTAACAAATTATTATCATTTGTTTTGTAAACAGTGGGAGAAGGTAATCATAACAGCAATGAACATCAATGTAATAAAGTTGAGAACAGAACAAAAACAACAAGAACATCTAATGAAATAATTAGTGCTTAAAACAACCCCTAACAAATCAAGAGTATTTTATGGTGCTAGAAACTCAGACAACTGTATATTGTTCTGTTTGTCATTGCACCATTACAGACAATCAACAATTGTTTTTTTCTGTCAAGTTACTAGAATTAATCTCAGTGGCCAAAGGAGAAGTAACTCTTCAAACGACAACATGCAGTAACATTATCATTGTGCTATAGCTAAGCTGACAAAAACTGAGAAATAATTTTGGATGCTTTATCCACAATCATTTTTTGAGGTCCAGCATGTAGCAGTTGTTTTTCAACACTTTAATGTCAACATCTGATAAGGCTGTGTCACATTTGATATTGTTTAAAAAGCTCTGGACAGCATCATTGAAAGCTGTGTATGTTGCTATTTTCTCCCCAACTTTAATGACAAGCTGGCAAACAAGTTTGGTCTTTAGCAAAGAAAATAAAGTCGTTATCTGACAGTTAGAGCATGTTACGGTGTCATCAGTAAAATTTGACTCTTCTTACTTTCTGCTGCAAACTATACAAGAACAATGTTGGCAAACATCAGCACCAATGCAAGTTCCTGGTACAAGATAATCATGCAATTGTGGAGTAGTTAGATTAACATTTGGTATGTCACTGATTTGTGTTATTTTAGTGAACTCATTGGTGTTTACAAACCTAGAGTCATCAAAAATCTTTATTTTACAGTTTTCTGTGGTAAGATTTTCCTGCCTTCACTTTGTCTATGGTTTCTTCCCATAGAACTAGTTTTACTGAATTGGTTTCATCGGCAACTACGCAGTCTGCTTTGTACCTTGTTCTTTCTCTGTGAACAATGGCTTGCTTGTTTTCAGACTTTGTCGATATCTTTACTTTGATATCAACGGTCCCATAAGGGTTTGCATCTAGAACTTGACTGATAGTGTAGAATCTGTTACTGAAAGATTCCTTGAATGGGAATTGCAGAGTGGTTGTAGTGACCTTGAATTTCTTGGAAATGGTGTATTAGTAGATGACGAGAATCTTTTTTAGGAAGATAATTGGGCCCAACTATCTTGACTGGTGATTTTTTCTGCTGTAACTGGTGCAAAGTGACACGCTTTTCTGGGGAAAAGCAGACAGCACGAACTGCTTCATTTTCTGAAGTTTGTGATTTTAAGTCAAAATACTTTGTGGTTGTGTTTGATGCTGTCTTTATTGTACTTAGGAGCTGTTTTGTTTTTGGCAGATCATTTGGGATCTGCTGCATTATTTTGTTCTTGAGTTCTGAAGAGTTTGCTTCAATGACACTATCTTGGGCTTTTATTTTGTACTTGGAGCCTTGTTTGTATAAACAAGGGTACATCCTGTAAATGATTCAAATTAGTTTCTGTGAATAATCTCTCACGTAGCTTTAGAAAATCATTTTCTGTGTGTTTGCCTTCTTTGAATCTGTTTGAAATTTCTGCAAATACTTTGCTTTCTTTTTGTCTCATGATCTCATGTAGTTCAAACAATTTTAAGTATTCCTGCTGTAAATTTAAAGAAAGTACACCCTACTTAAAATCATCAGTGTCCTTAAAATTGTAACCATTCATCACATGCTGAAGTTGAAATAAGTCACCAATTGCAACAATACTGACACCACCAAAATCTTGATTACTCCCCTTAATATCTTTTAACCTGTTGTTTATTTGTATGTTGAACATGCTGTTTCTTACCGTTGAAATCTCATCTAAAGCCCTCCAAGATTAGATCTTAGAGTATTTAGTCTACTATAATCCAAAGGCTTGTAATTTTTTAAAGACTGGCTTGCTGGTATTGCAAAGGCACTCTGAATTGTGTTGCCTTTGATATTAAAAGCTGCCTTCCCAGTGGATGCTAGCAACATAACTTTCACTTGGTGAAAGTCATCTCCAGCTGAAGAGTTGAGAAATTTTAGAGCAGCCTGATCAAGTGCTTTTGTAAGGTGTGATTTTTCAATACTTGCTCCTCCACTAAGGAAAGAGTAGAATGGTTTGTCTGAGGTTTTTATGAGATGTAAGATATGATAAAAAAAATTCTTTTTGCTCTTTATTGAGCATCAGAACCATTTCCCTGTAGTCTTCATCAGCTATTTCATTTAGAATAAAAGGCTCACAAGTTGCTGAAGTAGAAGGAATTCCAACATCATTTGAGAAGTCATAATGTTCATGAAAGTCAGTAGGTAGGTCTAGAGTGCCTTCAGCCTCATCTTGAATTTCAGTGTGTTCTGTGTTTGGTGCTACTAACTAGGTACTTGTCCTAAATCAAGCTCATCTTTATTTTCTTTTAATATATCTAACTGTTCCTGAATCTGTGATAGCTCTTCACTACAAACAGCATACTGGTTCATTTGTTCATCAATAGCATCTTTCGAAAGTAAGAAGTGTTCTTGAAATGATGATCAACTTCTTTGTTTCTCCATGTAGTAAAAAGCATCATTAACTCCCGAAAGTGTTTTTCTGGATGTGATTCTTTATTAAACCAAACACTTCTAATGATTCTGGCTTTTGCTGGGTTTTGTTTTGAACTTTCATTCAAAATGTCATCATCATTATGATTGTCATCATTTATTGTTTCTAAAGGAAGACCATCAGTATCTACTAAAGGTGATTTCTTTACAAAAGGCTTGTGATTTGAATCATACCATGCTACCCAGTCTGCTAGTGTAACATGCTCTAGACTATAGGTCTTTGAATGTACCTTTTTTAAGGGCTGCCAGAGTGAACATCATCAGAATCATCTTCCAACTGTTCAATTTCCTTCATAGGTTTTAACAGTTGAACTCTTTCTGTTGGTGGTGAGGTGTTGATAAAATTAATGTGACTTGACAACTTGATTTTCTCATTGGAAGGTGGAGAGCTAGGTAAACTGCTTCTTGAGCACTAATCTCAACACTGTTAAGAAATGTGTTTCCAATGTCTTACTTGTTGTTTTATGGTCGAGTTATTTTCTCTAGCTTCATCACATGATTTTCTCAAAAGCTCACTCATTCCTTTTTGTGCTTTTGATATATATGATACAATATACATAGCACAGGCATAAACATCAAGCACAAACTGTATGTCCATATTTGCTCCGATTCCCAGGCACTAAGACAAGCAGGATTATAGTTGTTGACTCTCAGTTCACTTGGACTCATTTTTATAAACATGGTTGGAGCATTTAAAGACAAGAAGAAACAGCGAGCAATTATTTTCTGTTATATTTAAGTCATTAAGCAACTGATCAAATGTGATTCCTTTCCCCTCCTTCAAATCATTCAAGTGCTTATTTATAGCTTTCTGAGATTCCTTGTGATTTTTTATTTCATTGGCAGACATATTCCCAATTAAAGGAAGGTTGAGGAAAATTGAATCTGCATTGCCTCTTTGCTTTCTTTTTGTAAGTGTGAGAATGTCTATGAATTTGCCTGTTAACAAGGTTACGCAACTCAATGTTGTTGGAGGGTTTTTGACAGCTTATAATATTATCTATGAAAGCAGTGATAGTATCATCCCCATTCACTCCAAATACTGGAGCATCTTTGAGCCAGATCAGCATGTGGATATGAGGTGAGCCATGCTGCTGGTACTCAACTCGGTAAAACCAGTCGGAAATTTGGCCGAAGGGTAGGGCATTGCTCATCAGAAACTTATAAAGAAATTGATTAAACTGATAATCAAAATGTCTTGCACACATAACAGGGTCACTTTAAATTAATCTGCACTTTTCCTCCCAGTTAAAGTTCTCCAATTCAATATTGGTGTATTGCTTATTGTCTACTAGCTGACCAAGAATTCTAAGATGATTCCACTGAAATTCAGCCGATGGAAAACTGCAAAACAATGTAGATGTGCCAAGTTGACAGATCATTGCAAAGAGATCTTCTTTAGCTTTTTCAAAGTAGGGGGTGAGCCTCTTAATGCCTGTAGACATTTAAATCATTCATCAATCATTCTAAATTTCCAGTTTGCTTGAAATATCCAGCTGTTAAAGGCCTTTTGTTACCCTTGGTTTTTCTCAGTGCAATCTGTGACATTCCTAAAAGGGTTTTCATTTGCAGCTTCTTGGTTTTAAAAAATATATTTTCCATACACATAGCACACCTTCTGTCTGAACTTCTTAATTCTGATTTACAAATGTTGCTATAATTAATTTTCACAAGTCTTTTTTCATTTCCTGGTCTTGGTTCACCAAGAAATATACCCGGATATGCTAATTCCTCACAAAATTTGTCTTTAGATATACTTTGAGGTCTGCTGCCTTCCCCAGGTGCAGTATTGAGAATATGTTCATGTTCACATTCATTGTCTTCAACAAAATTCTTGCTGTTAACATTGTATCAGTAACACCTGCTACGATTCTGCCTCATCTTCACTCCACTCATCATCACTAGAACATTTCTGCTTCTGTGCATTGATGCTTTGAGAATTGCCTAAAATGTTATCTTTTCTCAAGTACTCTTCCTCAGTACTATCATTTAGTTTCCACTCCTCACTGAAGGTTATACCTTCCTCTTTATAAAGAGAACTGTTGATTGAAAGCCACTTAGCTGCTTAAAAAACCTTACGTGGTCTGACATTCAAAGACAAAGCTGAACTTTTATATTTTAACTTTCTCTTTAACTGAACTTTAATGGTTCCACTTGTACTTTCAACTCTTGGTAAAATGTGAACAGTATCAGTTATATCTGCAGGGGCATTAACAACATTGCCACTTATTTTACCTCTTGGAGCTTGTAATAGTTTAAAATATGACACTATGCCTATACCATAATTGGTCACAACCGCTACATGTATATATTGGACCTTTAGATACAAGACTGTGAAACAGAGAGATGACATGCCCTAACATTGCTTTTCTCTCCTTGTAAGCATCTCTTTGTCCTTTAAGTCTTTTTGCTCTATCATCATTACTTTCGTCAGCTCTTCTCTTTCTCATATATTGTTGCATATAAGTTGTGCAGTTTTCCTCCTCCTCGATAGCACAAGTTTTTTACTTCTGAGAAGGCACATTACCTGTTTTGTTACTTTTCTCTACTGGTATACATATATAAGCAGTGTTTCCAACTGTCTGTGTATTATTAAAATGACTGTGACAATTTTGTGATGAATTCAATTTGATAGACCTATGACAAAAATGGTTCTTGAACCTCTGAGGCAATTTAAGGGATGTATAATAGTTTGTTCAGCAAAGTTATGATGAGATTCAACGATGTGAATTATAAGATTCATTGACTCTGCAACTCCTTGTATTATAAGAGCATCACACCATGTACCTTGTCTTGACATATTATTTAAATAGCCTATCCATGATCTATTAATATTACTCTCAATAAATCTATCTGAGTGATCGACCAAATACTGTACTCTTAATACTTTAAGAAACATCATATGTAGTACGATTTACTACAGCTTCCAAATGTGTTTCAGTGTTATTGAATGCCCTTTCTGAAGTTGAAAAGTCGCCTTTTCCATCGTTCCGAAATTGAGGATTTTCCATGAACCCATTTTCAATCCTTTTGACAACAGTTCGTATGAGGGACTTTCCATCAGTTCCCAAAAAGTGAATTTTTCATGAATCCTACGAGAGGATTTGCAATCGTTCCCACAAGGGAATTTCTCTTCGTTACCACATGGGTAATTGCCTTTTTCGCAAGCCTTCGTTGTTCTATTTTTTGAACTGGAAAATTATTAAACGTAAATCATAGTTAGTAGAGGAAGAAGAATACGGATTGAATTCTGTTTGAAGAATACGGTAACTCATAGTTGATCATTCTCCACGCGACTGTCTTCCTTTTGACATGTTCTGTTCAAAGAATCACACTTGTTTTCAAGCTATTCCCTTCATACCCGACGCGACAACACGTATTGCGCAGTACGTCTTTTACAGCACAAGCCGTAAGCCTTTTCTAGAAGGGTATTCAGAAACACTGACCGGAAGCTGTTGCGAATCATGTCCGGGTTTCATACCACGCAAAATAAAACGTACTTACCGAAAAAAATAAGCAGCAAACAGTGTCGCTACTGCTAGAAAAAATTTACGGAGTCCAAAGTCGTCGAACCGGTTTTAACCAGTTCTCTGCATCGGTTTTGGGAATTTTATTGTTTTGATTCAATTTGCATAGGAAATCGTATGAACGCGAGTGCATTGCGTGATTTATGGGCACGAGTGATGTTTTGAAAGTTCTCAAAATTGCACTCTATAACCTATTTATGCATTCATCATTGACCAATCAGAAACGCGATATTTAACAAATAGAGAAGCCTTGACTGTGCTCTGTTCTGTTATAAAGCAAGCAGGAAGCGGTTAGAACACGAAAGAAGTGCATTTTTTGAGAACATGAAGGTCGCTCGGGACGACAGCGCCGCAAAACTCGGCTGCAGTGACTGAAGTGACTTTCCACTCAACACATCGGAAATGATATCAGAACAAGCTCTTATTTTTTCACTCGAAGGGCGGCCGATGTAGTTTTTGAGGCTTGCTTTACTGTGATGACCGGAGATCGCCATGATAAGCGAACCGCGATGGATTTCAGCATGATCATATTTGCTCAGACACCGTCATGATTAGTATGAATTTTAACAGTTATGCCAGTTTGGTTATATTTTTAATCATTTCTGTTTTGTTCTGTTTTGTTTTGAACTCTGAACTTTATATACTATACGAGTGTTGGCTGTGTTTGATTTTACTACCGTACGTAAGCTTGCAATCTAACTGAGCCTGAAAATCTTTAAAACTCGGAATGTCTATTTTGTTTTTCCTTTGAGGATTTTCGTATCTGCTCACGTTTTAATAACGTAAATTACGGCGCCTGGTATGTTTACAAACCTTTCTTTGGTTCTTCTGTTGCTACTTGCCGGCTCGCTTGTTCCGAAATTTCACTTTCAATTATCGGAAAAAAAAAAGCTAAAAAAAGAAGTCCCGGAAAAGGTCGAACATAGTACAATTTGGCAGATGGCGTGACAGCTTTAGCTCAGTTCTATGCTCTATACTCTCGTAGAGCACGCTCTTTCAACCAATGACAGCGCGCGTTATATCCGAACTTTACCATAATTTGATGTATACAATAGACGGGTTATTCGGGGTTTCCCCGCCAAATTTTTTCCAATCGGTGAACTTATCATATATCACCGGCGACCAATCACAAGCCAATCCCAAGCCCTTTTAAACGTGGTTTTCACGAATGTTAGTAGTTCAGCCACACGCTATCATGTAAGCGATCGTAACTTTCGGTGACAAATAGCGAAATGACCACCAAACGTGGAGAGTAGCACTGATTAACCAGCTATTTTCGGTTCGTTTCTTATACCAGCCCCATGTCAGCCTCGAGCACAACAGATACCTCGGCTGAGCTGGATTCATCACACGGAGTTAAACCAAGGTCTGAAGGATATGACGAATACTTTGATCCACCTTTGGAAAGCAAATATAAATGTTCTATCTGTCTTTTGGGGCTGCGAGAGCCAGTGCAGACAAGCTGTGGTCACAGATTTTGTCGTCGCTGCATTGTTAACTCTATGAGGTAAGCGACAATCTTCTCAGAAAATTTTGATGGGTTGACCGAAAAAATAATGGAATACTACGAAGTTTTGGCGAAACAAAATTTGAAAGTAGAAAGTTTTTAAACGATCTTAAAATGTCCTAAATCATCCGATTTAACTATGCACCTTAAATTTATGTTAGTTTTATGGCGATCTGTTTAAAAACTTCACCGAAATAGCCGATTTCTGCAATATAATTTGCGTTATTCTTCCCTCTACACCTTCTCACCCGCCTGCCTGTTATTATTCACCACTTCACGGGTTTATTTGGAACCAACACAGTGACCAGCTCCCAGTTGGCTTGTTAGCTCAGTTGGTAGAGCACTGCACCGGTATCGCAGAGGTTATGGGCTCAAATCCCGTATAGGCCTGAATTTTTTCACTGGTGCTATGAATATTTGTGTTGGTCTGGCCGTAAAGGCAGAAAACGTTACAACTGATGTGGGAATTCAGTCTCTCCCCAATTCTCCCGCGACCATGACGCTAACACGGAACCAAATTGACCCTGGGCTCAGATTTCCTAAAGCGAGTCCCAGGTGTACAACTGAGACGAGTTTATGAGCGCGATTATTATTATACACTTTCAAGGTTAGGACACCATTTATAACATTACACAAGATGATTAAAATACATTTTTATCATTTCTTCAAGGAACTGTGGTCCTAGCGAATGTCCAGTGGAAAGGTGCAATGAAAGCGTCACAACGTCACAGGTATTTATTTAACTTTTGTGTTGAGGATACGCAGACCTTCGAGGACAGATGTTGTGGGAATTTTTTTAACATGTCAAAATAGGCATCGTTATTTTAAGTATAGTTTTCAAGAAAAATTTTGGTAAAATATTGAAACACACGCGAGTTATTTACCAAAACATATTGTTTCATTGAATTCTTTAGCCTGTCTAAGTGCGAATAGCCAAATTGTACCGTCCACATATATGACTCCCGAAGGGTTTCTTGCGGCAAAAATCCTCAACCTAATGAGTTGTATGACAACAGATGTGGAGAATATTCACTTGGTTGTGCATTTATTACAAAGATCCACTTAGCATGGTATTAAATTTTGCAAGAAATGTTGGAAATGCACCCAAAGAAGGCTTAAAGATGATAACCAAGTGGGTGGTGTATTATTTTAAAAATCCAAAGTCTTGGTATCCTGCACCCAAAGTGCCATGATCCTGTCGGCTACACTGGTATTCAAATGTTATCACCTGTACTGATAGCACCACAGAGCATACAGAAGATGAGGGACTGGGCAAACAAATTTGGTGTAGCAGTGCTTCAGATGGTAAAAGCTGGAACTCTCCTGTCAAACGTTGATCAGAAAGGGATTCAGCCACATGCACTGCTCAGTTTTGAACTCTCTGGCTTCAAGTTGCAGCAAAAAAAGGAAAAAACAGACAAAGAGGAAAATGAGATATTAGAGTATGATTCCCAAGCAGAGATGAAGAAACAGATGAGTCATTTCCAGACAACAAGACTGGATGTGATGATGGCGGCATTCCATCTTTAGAACAAGAGGCTCCTTTTATCATGGAAGATTTTCCTGCTTCAGAAGAAGTATTCGCTTCAACAGCAGAATTACATTCAGTCAATTTTTCTTTATTTTCCTTGTTGTGGAACCAATGGGATTGCTGTCAGATTTTGTTGTTTTACTGATACACTTGTTGACATTGTTATTTGTTTCTCTGATACTGACCTGTTTCTACTAAAAATATGTTTTTCCATGATCATAGTTAAACAGAAGGAAGTCATTTTCGTGACTAGCATGCGTCATTCTTGTAAAACTTTGAAAACTGCTAATGAACAATATCACTGGGGTGAAAATAGATAAATTTATGCCTAACAGTGAGCAAAGACTTTAATGTATCTATTCTGGTTGTGAAAATCATCACCCACTGAAAAGGCCTTCTGAGTTGAGGGAATGGACTAAGAACAAACATTTATGATGGGAATTGGGATTGGCCGTCAGGATTACAGGATTGAGATACATTTTTAGTTCACATTGCAGAATCAAAGAACCCTATTGGGGACCCTCTGTACATAGAAAGGTAGAGAACCACCATATTTTTTGCAAAACAATAATAGCATGATTTCAAGGACTCACCTTGAGGGCGAGAAATTTGTAGTCTTTGAAAAATTAAAAAATGGGTTGTTTTCATCAAATTGTGTGAGAAATCATGTTAATTTGAAGCAAAAGGCAAAGTACCTTTTGTGATGTGGAATTGAACCCAAGTACATGTACATTGCACAAAGTTGTCAATTATTAAATAAGTTTATTTTATCATCACTTACATATTTTAACTGTAGATATACCCAGACAAGTTTGCAGAACAAGAAATGATGACCTTTCGGGTTTTTTGTCAAGCAAATGAAGAAAATGAATGCCTTTGGAAAGGAAACCTTGGAGAGTTAGAGGTATTTTCTCTTGAGTTTGTCAGAAATATAAGGTTGTTACACCTGAGTTTCCTAACAAAGAAAATAAATGGAAAATGGTCACTTTGCAATTTGGAAAATCTCTTTTGCCTATAGGTTGCTGAATGGAATGAATGAATGTGAACTTTGTGGGAATTGCTATAATTATTTCTTGAAAACAGAAGACATTAAAATTAACAGTTGTAGTAGAGTGGATCTGTATTTTATCAATTATTATTTAATAGGAAATTCAATTAGAAAATGACATACAGTAATTAAAACTAATTCAACAATCAACTCAGTTGAAAATCAATAATTGTTTAACAAACATATTGGTAAAGGTTTATTTAGTAAGAGAAGAGATGTGCTTTACCCTGAAGGTACATAAATCAGAAAAGGTGTGTTCTTTAACACAAAGTAAAAATCTTAGCATCTTAGCAGACATACTTAGATTATCTAAAAACTAAAAAGCCCCCCAAAAAGTTCCCCCTAGACTTTTGATAATTTTCTTTCCACACATTACTTTTGCTACTAGCAATCTAACAAGGTTTAGAGATAATTGTAAGTATCATTTACTCCAGGTAGAGAAAGGGTCAAATTTTGTAATTGAAAATGACCAATTTGTATCTGTATAATAGGATCACAGAAGTGAGTGTCCATTTGTTATGGTTGGCTGCACTTATGACTGTGGGAAACAAGTAAAGCGGAAAGATCTCCAGCAGCACACAGCAACAAAATGTCTGCTTAGGAAAATTTCCTGTGATTATTGTAATGAGGCAGTTTTGTGGAGTGAATTGGAGGTAGACATAGATTTGTTACCTATTTTCATACATTATAATCACATGATATTCCCTACTGATATTATTTGCAACCCTGAGTTGTGTAGATAGAGAATAATACATGGGCATGACAATACTATTTATCGCATAAACTGCGGTGTTATACAAGGATTTCCGGCCCTGAGAAAAGCCGTAACAACATGTGTTAAAAAATATTGTATTTTTTCATGTGTGTTGATATAGCTAATTATAATCAGCTGCTTACATGTCACATGCCTTTGGCACCACTTGGTCAGGTTGATGAATGAACAGCAAAGCCTTCACGATTCTCAATACAAGTTGCTTGTCAGAGCTTTCTCGAATTATCGCAGCTAAAACACTAAAACATCGGTATTTCTGAGAGACAATGAGGTTCAAACTTTTCTAGAGGGAGAAGAAAACCAATATACTAGAAGAAAAACTGAAAGTTGCATATTCAGTGGCTTTGGTGCCAGCATTTCTCTCGGCTGAGAATGAAAATCGACAACTGGAAGATTTGCCACTGGCTGATTTTGGCTGTTTACCTGAAAGACTTCTTCTGTCGGTGAAGACAAAGTCAATAAATGAGAATTATGTAAATTGAAAATTACGACCATTGTTGTTTTTGCAATCATGATTCAACACATTTTTCCATCTTAAGAGTCAGCACCAACGCACTCTTGTTACTTGAGGATTGTCAACTCATTTATTTTCATTCACTAATGAAGTCGGCTTTTCTTTTCAGTAAAGGGCTATTGTGTTTATATGATAAACAAAATAATACATGGTTGCTTGTAGATATGGAATTTCTCTTCTTGTGTTCAACTCGACATCTCACTCATTCACTGCACTCACTCATGAGCTATCGAGTTAAACACTCGAAGAGAAACTCCATATCTATGCACGCCCATGTATTATTCTCTATATATCATATGATGTGAAACCCCTCCCGCACAATCCAGTAGAAAGCCTTTGTAAAAACAGACCTGTATAGAGCAGGATGAGTTGATCTGAGCTGGTCAGAATTTGCCTTCCAGTCACACACTCATACTCATACTCATACTCATAAATTACAAGTTTCTTGTTCTCAAAAAAATTTGAATTGAAAAAAATTTTTTGTGGTTGTCCCTCATGCACCCATCTATCACATTCTACTGGGGTGGAACAACATTTTCAACAGTTATTGGCGAAATAATGAAAAGCTTATTGATTGAATTTGGTTAGGCTGGACAGGACAATATTTGGCTTGTGAGCCAACTATTTTTCCTGTCCAGTGTGACCAAACTCAGTCAATAAATACATTGTACATTGGCTACAACAGTCAAGGAACTTGATCAGACATTTTTCATTTTACATGTAATTATAGATGTATACTCCAAAGGCTTTATTGGTGTTGCACAGTTGCAGAAGGCTCAGACCATGTATTGATTCAGATTATTTGTTTTTGGGAACTCCCCCCCTTTTTCAGCTCTGTTTTGTAATTTTGGAAAAAGGTAGGGACTAACTCTTAAGGAAAGGACTAGTTAGTAATTTATTTAAAGAAAACTACAGGGGCTATGATGATTCGTTCGTTTCCCTCACATCTTTTTTTAAGTATCCTATTATGGTGTGAAAGAATTTTGTCTCCAAGCGTCCTGCCAACATTGGTGATCTTGTGATTTGCCAAAAATTATGACCTTCCCTTAAATTTAATTTTCTGTTATTGCTTAATTTTTAAACTTCTTCTTAAGAGGCTATAAAATAATTTTCAGATCAAAATCTATACCATGAGACATAATTTAAGCAATAATTAAACAGTTATAGTTGAATCATGTCTTTTTTTTTTGTTTAAGCAACATTTTGAAAACTGCTCCAAGTATCCACAACAATGCAACATGTGTGGGAAAGATGGTATTGAGAGAGGCAAGGTAAGGTCTTTTTTTATTTGATTTAGCAATTCCTGTAATTATATCATTTGAACCAGAGAATCTGCAATTATAACAAAATGATTTTCATTATCTTTACAATAAGCAACTTTGCAAATGCTGAGGTCAGAATGAATGTTGGGATTGGCCAACCCAGTACCAGGTCCCTTCAGGGGCTTGTTGTTCACCCATGCTTTTAATCTTTGTTGTTGTGTGCAAACCTTTTTCCTTTTCATTCCTTTGGGGAGTTAATGGGCTGAGGAGATCATTGGTCTGTGTAGGCAGGTGAAAATGACTGTAGACATTGGTACAAGGTACAAAATTTTAACCTCTTAAATTTCCAATTTTTGGGTTCATGGAGCAGAAATCCATAACAAAGTTGAGCAAAGAAGAGAAAAAAAAGGAGGGATTGTGCATCAAGACAATGATTATACAACTGTAATGGAAGTTGAGAATGTCATTAACAATACATTTTTCCACAAACTGTAAATAACACATTTTATTTAAATTTTTGTAACTTACAGGATATCTTGGTTTGTTACTTGTTCTCTTCAGCCATCATAGAGCAAAAGGAGGCCTGCAAACATACACTTTTTCAAACATTTGAGAAACTACATGCCCCTTGGGAAACCTGGTGTAGGGTTGACCAATCTCTTCAGTCATTTGGTTGCAGTATTAGCAAAGTAGTGTACTTTCCATTTATCACAAACAGATTCCATGTTGCGGTGCATCTGTTCAGTAGTAGACCATAGATGACATCATGAGGACACATGGTAAGAGGAAAAAATTGGTATGCGAGGTGCAGCTGAGTGTGTCACTACAGGATGATCCTGCCACATTTGGATGTCATCTGTGATCTATAACTGAACAGATGCACTACATCATGAACTCTGTTTGAATTTGAAAGTTTCTTTTATCTATCACTTTGGTGTTATCAAAGTCATTATACAGTATGGTTGTTACAACTCAGGTAAATTGCAAAGCAACCAGTAAGAATATCAAAAAAATCCCCACATATATTTCAAGACCAACCCATCAGGATTGAAATTGTGCAGAGGATTTACTTGTGCAGTCAGATTTTATATGTGATTAATTTACTGAAAGAAACATCATCCATTTTGAATTGTGATGCCCCATTTGGTTTACAATTAGATCAACCAAAAAAGAAATAATGTTTGCCAAATAGTACATTTCACAACCTTTCTAGTGATGTATATCTGTATATATGCTTCAAGTAGCATGTTAAAAAATGTTTTTTGCAAAGGGCACCAGTGAATGTCTACCTTATCCTTAATATCTTTAATGAGATTAATGAACATCCTACCCATTATACTTCTTTATAATTGTACAATAAAATATTGTGCATAGCCTATAGTTTCTATTAATTAGAGCAAATATTCTTGGTTCTGATATTATTAAGTGTTGCCTTGCTAGATGGAATACCACTTGGAACAACTGTGCTTAAATGTGAGAATTAAATGCCCCCTACACACTTTTGGATGCCCATTTGAGGTATTTATTTGAATAATTATGTATATGGCCTTGTGATATTCAAGTATACAGTTGACTCCTGATAACTCAAACCTGGAAATAATGGGAAATTGGAAAAGGATTTGAGTTGTCTAGAGTTTGAGTTATTGTGAGTTAAAAACAAAGGACTATAGAAATACTATAGAAACAAGGAAAAACATTGAAGATTTTAGATAGATGAAAATTCATATATTTGCACTGCGGTGGAGAGATGAAATTAAGAGATCCTCGCAGCTAAGAACACTACTGAAACGAGTAGTTGTAAATAGGACCTGAAAAAAAAAAACTACTCGTTTCAGTAGTGTTCTTAGCTCCCTGGGATACAGGGGGTCATAGCCTCTCACCCCCCTTACCACATTCTCTTTCCTTCTGGACTTTTGTTCCCGTCTGTCTCTCAACTCCTGCCCTTCATTGTATTACTCCCATCTTCAAGTCAATAATAAGTATTAGAAACCTGGGTTATTGGCAAGCTGTGCCAAAACATATTTCTCTTAAAGGGGGTAGGTTTCTAAAGAAACTGTAGTGCTGCATTGGTGGGAGAGTATAGTTATGTAGGCAATTTAGTGTTAACAACTGAGTTGAAAACATTCATTGGCCACTGTAAAGGGTAAAAAAGCTGACATTTCGAGCATTAGCCCTTTGTCAGAGTTATTGGGGATTGGCTCTGACAAAGGGCTAATGCTCAAAACATTGGCTTTTTTACCCTTTACGATGGCCAATTTACATTGTCAACTCAGTTGTTAACACTAACTTGCCTGCATATTATTCTTATCCGTTCTGTGGTGCTGGATTTTTTCAGGGGAGGGGAAGTAATTTACTCAAGATGAACATCATCACACACCAGTTTTCACTGACCTGATTATCACAGTTTGACAAGCAATTCACTATAGTTCACTGTGCCATCCAATAGCTATAATTGTAGTTTCAAATGTGCTTTATGTGTATTTGACCTGACTTATTTAAACTTCTGCCATTCTTTTCAACCTGAGAGAAAAGTTTTGCTTTCTTGCTTATAAAGTTTTATTTTACACCTTTTCCAGTGCTTCTGCCCTCCTGTCCCCCTCTACTATGTGGAAGCATTATATAAATGCATTTGTGTGTCATCTCTCACAATGATCTTTCTACTTTAATGCACATCTTCATTAGTGAGTTGTCTCACAGACTCTTTGATTTTACAGGATCTTCGATCTGATGTGAACAAACATATCATGGAGCAGCTTTCAAGTCATTTCAACAACTGCTTAAAATGTCATCAACTACAAGAAGACCAGGAAGGAAGGCTGAAAAGTGCCTGAATGATTCTTTTAACCTAAATTTAGTTGGTAATTTAAAAAGTGGTCCTGTTACATTGATTTGTACCTAGTTTTTTATGTAACTTGAAACATAATGCACTTGCATTGCAACTAAAAACAGTTGATGCCAGTAAGTTTTAGTGAATGAACATTATCAGGAAGTAGAACATGTTTCTACTTAAAGGTCAGGCCCCTCACATCTGTTGTTGTACACAATTTTTATAAAAATCAAGGAATCTTTTCCGTAACCTATGAGTTAAGAGCTATCCCTTAAAAAGAGTATCCTCAGAGAGCTTTAACTTTTATAATTTTTTTCCTAAGCCAAGATCATTTTGCCATTCTCTGTTTGGAAAGTACTTAATTAAGAAAAAAAATTATTTTAAGTTTGCCAAAAGTAAACTGTGAGTGAAGCAACAAGGTTATTGTTTAATGTAAGAGTACTGATTTTTATGTAAAACATTCATTGGTAATTACCATTTTTTTTACATTGTTGAGTACAATTCAGGAACAAAAGGGAACAAACTCTCCTTGGCACCAACCCTTTTAACTGCAGGTCTCTAGGAGTTAATGAGTTCATTAAGAGTGTTCTTGCATTTCAACTCTATAAATATTGTAAGTGTTAAACTTATAAGTACATCCAAAAACTGGAAAGATTTGTTTTTACAAGTAATTAACTAAAAAGAGCTGCTATTAAATAGTAGATCATTAGTTAACTTTGGACTTGATCAGACCTAGGTAAAACTTAAACTGGCTTATCCAATAGTTAGTTACACACTTTGTAAGCTCAAAAAGTTATGGAATGGCTGTGACTGTGTATTTTTGTTCTAAAGAACTGATGAATGTGGGTGAAACTGGGGAGCATGCAGCTTGAAGGGTTCTTAGAACATATTATAGAGAAGATGTACAGCTATACTACAATTTAAAGAAATAGGATCTGTATCATGCATATCGTATCTGGTTCCATTTTTCATCTTTGTAGCTTAAACAAAATTTGTGGTTCCATTATTCTTTGTACTTTGGTGAGCAGAGGTAGTATGAGGTTTAAGCATCTTACTGGAATCAGAGTACTCTATGTGCAATCTTTCTAGTAATTATGACACTGTTGGATCTCCCACAAGTATTAATAAACTTTTTAGAATTATTAAATTTCCAAGGTTGGCTTCTGTCATTCAATGTTATTTGAGTCTGAATTATAATAACAGGTAGGTTACTACACCTAGACTGCAAAAACAGCTGAATCTAGGGTAATTTCTTACATGCCTGACCAAGAAGTTCTTTCAATTTTTTTATGCCTAGCACTCTACTATATTCATTCATGACTACATACTGAGTCCTTTATCATTTATAAAGATTGGATTTGTTGTGTGCAAACCAAAATAAAGAGACAAGTGTTAAAGAAGATTCTTTATTAATCTTGTCACACAGTATACCCACACTGGTATTTCACGTTCAGATCGTTCAAATGTCTCACAGGTGACCTGCTGAACTCTTCTGTAAAGGTGAGTCTTCTCCTTATGAAGTGCTTCACTTAGTTCTCGGTTGGCTGTAACTATGGCAACCTGAGCCTCTAAATCTCGATAAACTGAACGATGTCCAAAATTTGGGGAACCAATCAGAGTTAAGCTAGGCAGAGGCCCATTTGGAGAGTAGTACCACAGTCCTTTCACATGAAGTGCCCACTTATGATGTACATACTCTTGTATCAAGACATTAACAGTTTGCTTGTGTTCCAACATTTGCTTGTAAAATCATGAGCTAAGAGGGTGTAAGCATTAGGAACACCACCTTATAGATAAGGGAGTCGATAGTACACTGACTGCTTGCAATTTATGTTAGAAGATTACAGAAAATGTTGAAATTGCAGAGAAGTAGAACCTTATAGACAATTTTTCCGTTATTCAGCATTATTCATAATAATTCTCTGACCAAACTGAAAATTTGGGCATGTTCTTTAGGTATAAAAACACCATAAATGAGTTAGATCTAAATACCAATTTGAGCTAGTCAGGCCTATCACTTGAAGAGATTAAATTTGCCCATTTTGTCCATTTTGTCTGTTGTAGTTTACTGTAACTGAGTAAGTTAACAAGCACACTCAAATCTAGAACTATACTGAACTCTAAGAAATGAATAAATTACTTAAACAATAGTTGTTACACATTACAACTCAATTAGTCAAAACTGTAAAGAAATTCTCAAACATAATTGATTATCACCAGTCCTATTTGTATAGGTTATCACATGATTTCAAGTGTAATTTGGAATAAATAAGTGCGAGTAAGTTTTTTCAAAGACTAACAAAATTACATGAGCCTATAGGGAGAGTACACTTTGGTCTTTGAAAAGATTTACAAATGCTTCCTTATTCCAAATTGCACAAGAAAAATCGTGATTACATGTTAATAATATACATTCAAAAAATATGAGATAGGTTGTCATAATTATTCAGAAGCAAAGTGCGTGCATCAAGTGCAAAAATAATTTATTCATACCCTGAAAGTGACATTGTGCATTTGGTTAAAACAACCACGTACAATAAAAACAATAATATACAATGATATTTTCACATCTTTAAGGTGCAAAAAAAAGTTCAAAGTCTGACTAAACAGTTCAAGGAATTGTTCAATCTGGCTTGTTACTGCTTTGCACTGAATTTACCCTCTTCTGCATTGAATTACCTGAAAACTGCATTTATCTTAACCACTACGAACCGAGTGGTTTTTCCAAGTATTTCATTAGAGCACTAACGGGACAGAGTTATGGAACAGTTCATGTATCATACCTTTGTAATTCAGAGTTTGCACCCTTTAACTTAAAAACTGTATAAAAATACAATATTAAAGCAGAAGCAAACACAAATAGTCATTTCATGCTTACAATGCGACTTGCACTTTGTACGAAGTACTGTGTCAAAATCACTTCCACTCGAGTGTATGGAGCTAGTAAGTCTCCTCTGGCGCAAAGCTGCTGCCAAATCAATAATTTTCATGTTTACAGTACATTTCAAACTTCCATTCGTGGAACAAAGGGAGAAAGGAAAAGAAGTCTAACCCTCACAACCCACTTGACGCATGTGTCGCGACCTCGTTAATAAATAAAGAATCCTATAGCTTATTTTATTGGGGTTTCCCTTCGATATGAATATGCAAATTTCTACGTATCAGTCAGTCAATCATATATCACCTACAACCAATCACCAGCATTTACTTAACCGAAGTTCTTTATAAGTGTTTGTAGTTGTGGTGCATCGCCAGCACTCGTGGGTGAAGCACGATCATAACCATGATTTATGATGATAAGTAGCGGGATGGTCATCTCCTAACGCGGAGAGAAGCACTGATTGTCCAGCTATTTTTCCGTTCGTTTCTCATACCAACCCCATGTCAGCCACGAGCGGAACAGATACCTCAGCTGAGCTGGGTTTATCATCAAACGAAGTTGAACCAAGTTCTGAAGGATATGACGAATACTTCGATCCACCTTTGGAAAGCAAATATGAATGTCCTATCTGTCTTTTGGGGCTGCGAGAGCCAGTGCAGACAAGCTGTGGTCACAGATTTTGTTGTCGTTGCATTGTTAACTCCATGAGGTAAGCGACAATCTTTCCAGACAATTTTGATGGCTTTACCAAAAAAAATTGGAATACAATTGCAATGAGGTTTTGGCGAACTGTAAGCAAGTAGAAAGTCT